GATTACCCATAGAACTATGAGCTGCAAAGCTACCTCAAGTCCATCTTTCTGCACAAGCTTTTAACCACAATGACTTCCTTCTAGATTACCCCCATCACCACTGGAAACCGTTCAGGGCTGTACTGATTTGTGAGGCAAAAGGCAGCTATCTACGGTCCACAGAAACACTGCACAAATAATTCAGGACAGAACAGCAGCACCAGTAACACCATCTGTGCACGTAAGGGTCTTCCCAAACCAGTTCTGCACTCTCCCTGTCTGTGTGATTTAGTGGTGAGCTCAGACATGGCAAGTGACCATTTGACACCAGCCCCTGCATACCAAGAGACTTCTGGATAGGTTTTGGTCATTCACACCACGAACTAGCAGCAAGGAATCTTCTGACAGAGGAAGCTTCCAAATTCCTCTAGTAAAAGGCATTTAAGGTCCTCTCAGCCTGTGGCTCCTGAGCTGTTCTTCACCTGCCAGCAGACCAGTAATTTTGGATGTGAGTCAGTAGCAAAATGCAACCTGTTGTTCATGACTCATTGCTCTATACAGCAGCTGTCCTTTCAAGCTGTTTGCTTCTTCAGAGCTAAAGAAACACTGCTCACTATTAGCACTGACCTGCAGACTTTACTCTCCCTAAATCTACATACCTTTACGGATTCGGTTACTACTACATCTCACTGCAGAATAGCTGAGGTGAAAAGAAGTTAGCTTCCTCTCCATGAAGCAGTCTGCAAACAGTTTTATTGAAAGATGCACGCACGTCAGCAAAATGGGGCTATTTTTTCTTCTCTTACCTTCTTGGATCTCCAACAGCGACAGTACACAGCCTTGTCGCCCAGATCTTCCATATCAAATGCATGGACTACCTTGGGGTTATCCTTCTGGATATGCAGATTCACCATTGCTTTGCAGCACTTGTCTTTAGAGAGAAATTTTTTGTAAGCTAGATACCCGACAGCAGCTGCTCCAGCAGCTAAGGAGACTGCAGCAATCCATTCAACTAGAAGAGAAGCAGAAAAAGAAAGAGCGTCAGGCTTTTGAGCAAAACATTCCATTCTATTAAAGCTACTCAAAGCAGTAAATATCTCTGCGCTCACAACAACACCTCCGTCTTTCCAAGTGACCTTTCTGTTCTGTGGGAGAAACGCAGGATTTTAGAACAAGAACATTTTCTCTTGATGCTCAGCCAGCTAATTTACTCCCTTCCACTGATCAGAGTTTGCCTTCACCCCAGTCCCTTCCCTGTAACATCAACAACCCAAACAGATCCCTCAAGGGTATGAGTACTGAGTAATTTATTTATTTTTTTAAACACATGCTATAACCAAAAATTTCCGAGCTGTTTGGCAATAGGGAAGTTATTTAAAATATTAAACTTCATAACAGTAACAAAAGCCAGCTTAGATTAAATCCCTACTGAGGAGTACAGGTAAGAACACGGATCTGAAAGGATTATATTTAAGAACAATAGCACAAATTTAACCGGATTATCCTGACTCTCTGAAATACAACCTCCATTGAAACAGTTTCTTTCCACCACCTCAATCCTTACTTTTTCCCCACCTCTAGTTATCTCTAAAAACTTTGCAGTCTCAATCGCTCATTTTAATTTGCTTTTCTGCAACGTTTTTTCCTATTTTTTGTGGCTCTATTGTTTTCTCTCTGCCCCATGAAAACACCCTGGACTTTGGCCTAATGGTTCAGATTATCTAACAGTACATGGAATTAGACAAACACTTGCATGATTAAATGTAGTCCCAATAAGATTTGGGAAGAGGGATGGGGAATTCTTGCTATGTGCCTTACTAAGGGGAAAAGATGCATGAATCCTCTAAAGTTTGTTTTCTTAGTAAAGGGAAGCTTTCCCCTTCCTGCTCGAGCAGGTTTCCAGGAGCCAAGCAGGGCTGTAGAGGGCAGGAGGCACCCAGCCAGCTCAGGAACAGGCTGGGTCTGACAGGTTCAAAGAGATTCCCCAGAAAATGCGAAGTGCAGCTACAACGATGGCCGGGAAGACACAGGTATTGCCCAGAGCGGGCACCAGAGTACAAGATTCTGGCCATAAAAACACTTCTGTGACTACCAGCTGAGCAGGAAGGTCTGCACTAAAACTTACTGCCCTCCAGCACATTCAGAAAGAGCCAGTCTGCACATCTTTAGGTAATCCAGACCCCTCTAACCTCATAACCACGCACAGCGCAGTCAGCCCAGCAAGCAGAGATCATTAGTCTAGAATACCTGACATCTTATTTTTAATTTCTTCCTTACTTCTTTTCCTGAGGCCCAGATTCATCTGCTACACAAATCCAAACATTTAAAGAAGCCTATCCATTACATTGGCCCAATAAATGTCCTTATCTGAATTTATAAATGGAATGTCTCTCTTCTAATGAGATCAGCCTGCAAAGTTTCCAAGGTGGCAAGTCATCTTGTCAACCGTGTTTCACAAATAGATTTGGAAAAGCTGGAATGCGCATTTAATCTTTTGAAGTAAATCATAAACTGTATTAGTGAAGGAAAACAGTTTTCAGAATTCTACAGGTACTTTAAACGCTGTCTCAAGAGGCCTCCAGCACCAATTCAACATTTTGCTGCCAAGCTCCTACGTGCACTGAAGAGGCACCTTGACACTGATGTGGAATGTCAAGTTTCTTTGTCTTCTTTTTTTTTTTAATAAGAAGATTAAGAGCAACATCTGAGATATTATTAAAGAAATCCCCCCTCTGGTATAATACAAAAACACAGTGTCATAAGTCACGACAGAACAAGACACTACAGGCCCACATAACATGGGAGAAAACTTGCTTCAATGCTATAAATCACTACACAATAGGAAAGGCTTGGCTGGAACTCCAGAAAAATTAATACACGAATGAAAGAAGGGAAGATAGAGGGAAAGGAAGAAATCAAAGTCCAAGGAACGCAATCCCAGGAGAGCAGAAATAAACCAACAGGAAAAAAAATCAGAAGATAACAGCAAGAAGCCAACAATGGGAATTTAGTTTCTCCTCCATTCTTTGGACATACCCTAAGGGAACAATAGGGTTGGATCACACGGCTTTTCCTTCCTCCTCTCCCTCCTCAGCCCGAAAATTACTCTGGACGTTTCCAGATATAGACAGCAGAGGCACTTTTAGGATCTACCAGAGCTGGGACACGTTATCAGCAGGAGGAGCGCGCGTTTGCCATCTGCGCTGCCAAGCACACGGCGAAAACGAAGCGCTCTTGGCTCCCCCAGAAGCACAGTCCTGGCTGCCACATGGCGCACTTTACTTGCCCAATTTTTAAGCTACCTCTGCTGGTTAAGAAGTGCTGATGGTATTTAGAAGTTGCCTATGGGGAAATGACTCCGTATATCAAAAACTTGGGTCTTCGGAGGGGCTCCTAGATTTAAAGTCTCGTTCTCCTCCTTTTCTTGTCAATGAAAGAATTGCTATTGCCCAGGCTTAACAATCGGGTAACGGCACTGGAACCAGTAACGGGACTGCACATTCCCAGTGCCACCACAGCGCCGCCCGCTGAGGGCAGAGGGGGGGCGCGAACCCGCGCCCCTCAGCGCTGCCCCCCCCCCCCCCAACCCCCCGCCGCCATTTTGTCAGCGGGGGTCCGGCGGGGCGGGGCCGCGCCCCCTCCTCCCCCCTCCCCTCCCCTGTCCTCTCCTCTTCCCCCCCGTCCCCTCCCGTGTCGCTGTCCCCCCGCGTGTCCTCGCCCCGCGTGCCCCTACCCACCCCGCACGCTGGAGTTCTGCCCCAGCCCCATGGCTCCCGCTCGGCCGCCGCGCAGGGCTCAAGCAGCTCCGCGCCTGCGCCGCCACCGCCGCCCGCCCGCAAGATGGCGGCGGGACCGCCCTCAACATGGCGGCGGGGCCGCCCCTCTGAGGAGAAAGGGGGTCAGAGCGGCCGAGGGGGGCAGGCGAGGCCTCGAGGGGGCTCTCGGTGAGGGTGAAGTGGGCTCGGGCACAGCAGGGGTGGTGGGCATCGCTAGGGGGACGTAGGGCTAGTGGCCGGTGGTGCTGTGCTGGTGTATGGAACTCCCCTATTTTGCTGGAGAGAAATAAACTGAAGAGTAGTGCTTTCAGAGAAATAGCCTTTTATGCACCACACACAGGTATTGACCTGAGAATCTAAGTCTTTATTTGAAAAAGTAATGCCAAGAGTCCTAAAGGACTTGTGCAGCTAGCACCTACTTAACCTAATGAGCAGTAGCCTTTTACATCCCATACACCCAGGTGTTGACCTGAGAATCTAGCTCTTTACTTGGGGGAAAAAAAAATAGTGCCAAGAGTCCTCAAGGACTTGTGAGTCTGGGACCTACTTTTCTGCCTGTTAAGCAGCACACCTCTCCTTTTTCTACCCTACAGCATCTCAGATGCAACATCCATCTGGTACTGGTGGGTGGCTGCAGTTACAGTAAGGGCAAACGCAACATCCATCTGGTACTGGCTGCAGCTGCAGTAGGGCTAGGGCTTCCTGCAGGCGAGCTGCTTGTTCTTCAACCCCTGCTGGGCCTCCCAAGGACGTGACCTTCAAACACCTTTTCATAGAATCATTAAGGTTGGAAAAGACCTCCAAGATATCTGGTCTAATCGTTCCTTTACTGCCAATGTCACCCATTAAGTCGTGTACCTAAGCTTCACATCCAACCTTTCCTTGAACACCCATAGGGACGGTGATGCCACCACCTCCCTGGGCGACCTGTTCCAATGCCTGACTGCTCTTTCTGAGAAGAAATGTCTTCTTATTTCTAGCTTAAACCTCCTGGGGTGCAGCTTGAGGCCATTCCCTCTAGTCCTATCACTAGTTATCTGAGAGAAGAGACCGACCCCCAGCTCCCCACAGCTTCCCTTCAGGGAGTTGCAGAGAGCAATAAGATCCCCCCTGAGCCCCCTCTTCCTCAGATCCCACTTCCCATCTCCGGGCTCCCCACTTAGGACCACCAGAGGGCACCCCCCCTCCAGGACTCCATTTCCCAGCGCGTCCCGCGGTGGCGGACACAAAGAGCCCGGTTCCCCCCCCCACCCCCTCCGCCCCTCCCTCCGCGGCGCGCGCCGATGCCGTTCCCCGCCCGCTCCGCCCCGGCCGCGCTCCCCCCCCCGCCTCAGCCGTTGCCGCCGCCGCCGCCCCGGTCCCCTCATGGCGCTGAAGCGGATACAGAAAGTGAGGAGGGGAGGGGGCGGGGGGCTACAGGAGGCCGCCGGTACCCGCTCGGTCCCCTCAGGAACCCGGCTTCTCCTCGTCAGCCGTGCCCTTCCGCCCTGAGGGGGGTGGGGGGCGGCTGGCGGTTTGGGAAATGTCTGTTTTTTGTGTTTTTTTGACGGAAATGTTCGGTGAGCGCTGGGGTGTGCCCGCTGTGGGGGAAGGGGGCCGCTGCGGGCTCCCACCGGCGGCTGGCGGGGGGGGCTCTGGCTGCAAATCTTGTCAACAGGGCAGGGTTTTGTCGCCCGGTGCCAAATATGTAACCGGTGCGTGGCACCACACACCGCAGGCACAGCGGTGGCTTCTCACCATCAGGCAGTTCTGCCCTGCTTCTGCGGCTTGGGGGGGTTATTCCTGGTTTTTTTCCTTGTCTTTTTCGCTTCTCGCCTTCTCTGTGAGAATCCCCTGAGCCTTGTGTTAGGTTTGTTCTGCATACCTTCTTTCCTCTTCCTTTTCTTTCTTCCTTTTCTTTCTTTTCTCTCCTTTTTTTTTCCTTCCAAATCCTTTCTGTGAAGGTGAGTAAAAGAAGTGGGAAGTCTTGTAGTTTTCTGACGTTTTTGAGGTGAAAAAGCCTCCTTTAGTGGCGTCCATATGTATTGGAAAACCCCAGCTTTCTTTACTGTGGCATTTTCAAACTTTAAGTTCAGTAGATGTGAACCCTATCCTGAAGTTAGCGCTTTGCATACCGTTAGCCTTAGTAGATTCTTCCTCTGTTCTCTGAAAGTCAAGAAGTGCCGACTTCAAGTATAAGATTTCCAGATTGTGCAATAGGCTTTATCTGAAACATGAAGAAATTCTGGAGTGGGAGCTACCAGGAGAGTTGAGATCGGTTTCGGTACTGGCTACCGCTTCTAGTTTTCTGCAGAAAAGACCATTACTGTTTTATTATTATTATTATTATTATTTTCCCTAATTGCTATCTGCTGCCTTTCCAGGGTAAGAAATAATTACTGCTAGAGGGATTTGTCCAGCAGCCAGACTCCAAAGCAGTATCATAACAAGCCACTTGCTGTGAAAGAAGAAAGTGTCAAGGAAGTTATTACAAATGGAAGATAAAAATGAAGGGGGAAAGTTTGAAAAGACAAAATATCTTGATGTCAGTGTAGTATGTAGAGCTTTCCTTAACATAATGAAACGGGGAAAAACTAGTGGAGTAGATGAGATGTGTTTTTATGAAGGTTTGTTCATCCTGTCCAGCTCCCAGATGTTTCACACAGGCTATGAAGGTTGATAGCTGTGTCATATCACGAGGGTAGGAGGTGATAAGATCTGCAGTAGAGGAAATGCTGTAAGGATTTTATAGTTTGAGAAAGTGCCTCGGGGACCTCTTTGGAGAACAAAGCACTGTCAGAAAACACAATGGCATTGATTGAGAATTTGTTGGTCTAGACATAGTGCCTCTGGTTAAACCTGGGTGGTTTTAGAGTGGCTCAGAAGTGTGCTTTAACACAGCTGAGGGATTTTGGTGACAAGCTTGGTCACAATAATTTTGGGAGCTTGCGTGGTCAGAATGATAGCACTTACACAGGAAGCACAGCTGTAACATGTGTATACTAGAAAGTGTATTTTGTCCCGTGCCAATTGGGACTCCAGTTTCTGAATAGTATTGCTGTTGTGATTGTGTTATTTCATCTTTTCTTTCGTTGGTCTGCCTTGAGGGGCTCCTCAAAGGACAAACTGCAGACCTCAGGGCTCTGCGCTAATAACAGAAGGATGCCTTGTGCTTGGGAGCTTTCTTAAAAAAAATATATAAACAAAACAAACAAAAAAAGGCAAGTAAATAAACAACACGCAAGCTGATCATCCTAGTGTGTTCAGCTTAGTGGTGAAGGTGGAAGAGCAGCGAGGACGTGAAGCCCCACTCTGTAAGCATAGAGGTCAGTACTAACTCGATGACAAATTCATCTGAGTTCCTTGGAAGGATGGGGGATTCTTGCTCATTTTAAGCGGAGGATCTGGATTAGTTGAACTTGTCAATGCTTTGCTGTAGCACGAAGGAGAGGCAGCTGTGCTTCTACACTGTCAAAAACTTCGGTCTGTGCTGTGTATGTGATGTGGAATACAAGCTCCTTGGGGCAGGAGCTGCTTCCCTGTAGTCTGTGATGCAGCGTTGAAAGAATAAACCGCTATTTTGGATGCTCCTCTAGTATTAATGAGCTGCTGCTATTTCTTACGCCTGTTAGTGGCTCAGACTATTTTGAAATCTTTACAAAACCAGTATTCATTTGCTCTAGTTATCAGCATAAAAATAAATTGGACTTTTTTTGGGGGTAGAAGAGATTTCGAAGGCAGCAGCCACGTATTTTCTGACACGTTTGAAGACTGGTTTAAAAATAGCTGTTGTTTTTAATCTTGTCAGGGCATAGTGCTGGATTGTTTTTCTCCCACAGCTCAGTAAGAATGGAAGCATTCAAACATCGAAATTTACCATTCAGCTATATGTTTGTTTGTTTCAGCATGTTTCATACATGCATAGTCTAACAGGACATAGCAACTCAAGTTTTATGTTGAAAATAACTGTGGTTGATTAAATTAACTCCAGTGCAAATGTTATCAGTAATTGTGGTTTAGGTTCTGACTTTGTTTAGGGGGTAATAAACATGTTAAGGAAACTTTTCCAGTTCTGTAATACAAATCATTTTAGTTTGCTTCCAAAACATTAGCTGTGAAATCACAGCAACATATTTTGTATCAAACAGTGTATAAAACCAGATAGATACTCTGTCACTAAAACTTAACTTTATATCGAGACGTGATGGTAAATGTTTTACATTTCCTAAACTTACAAAGAAAAGAGAATCTGTTAACTAGCCAAAGTCTAATCAGTGCTCTAGCTGCTTTTTGGACAGATGGTTCCAATCACCATTAATAGAGGAGCAGCAGTGAATGTGTTGACTTTCTATCAAGTACAATGCTTTTTGTGCGAGAAATGAAGAGCATAGCTGGCAAATTTAAAAACCTCTATTTTAAATAATGGTGTGGAAAAGGGCTCTGGTTGCGGTTTCATGTATTTAAAGAACTAAAATAGCTTTTAGTGATGCTGCCTGCAGTTTATTTCTGTCTTCTGATAGCCTGCAGACTTATTTTTGGACTTTTTTTTTTTTAAAACTGCAACAGAGGAGAGATTTTAGTGTGTTTTTTTTTGTTGTTGTTGTTTTGCTTTTTTTTTTACTATGCTTAGAATATTCCCTGTTGTCAACGTATCCTTTCCAATCTTATTCTTGTAGCTTTTTAGGAGAGAATCCCTGTCTCCTAGTGAAGCACAGAACTGCTAAACTGGCCTCCCAGTCTTCACCAGCTATACGATTTATGAAATATATTCTGTCATGTACTTTGTCAATGAGTGCTAGTCTGCACTTTCAGACACATTTCCAGCTTACACAGTTTATTGTGGTATGTGTCTTACATCTCTTAAACTTGATTTTTAAATTTTTGTCTCATGCTGTCCGTGAGTCCATGTGTTCTAGAGTGTGTGTGGTGCAGTGAGGTGATAATTTGGAGGCTGTGCTGTGTCCCTCCCCAGTAAGTGCTGGCTAACGTTTCTAACACTGTGCCACTCTTCCTTTATTAGCTTCACCCGGTCATGGATCCTGACTGCTTTTGTGCTCCGCTGCTGTTCTCTGGTTTTAAACAGGAGAAGTAGTTTGGTGTTACACCTGTTAATTGCAACCAGCCGGAGGTATAGAAGTAACCATGTTTTATTCTACTAGGAAACATTTTTCAGTGTTTGAGAGGATTAGAAGGTTTATTCCTAGCAGTGTCCACAGCTTAGCCCTTTTCTTTATACAAATTTATTGTGGCTGTGCTGGGACAAAGCGTGGCACGTGCTGAGCTCCTGATAGATGCTTTTGTGCCGTGACATTCACCGCTGTTTGAAATAACTAATACTTGCATAAGATGCTTGCAGCTCTTGCAGACAAAACTACATTCTTTTTGCGTTCTCTCTCAGAAGATGTTGCCCTGGTGTATGCTGTAGCTTGCAGTGTTGAGTTTCCGTTTTGAAAAGGAATCCACACTACTTTGAGTTACAAATCCACTTCTTTTTTTTTAGCATACGTGCATCAAAGTCTTGCACCAGCGTTTTCTGTACCGCTGACTAAAAATATCTGTGCAGACAAGGCTTTGAGGCAAGCAGACCTGCATCTTGCTGCAGTGTTTTATAATCCATAAAACATGGACAAAACTGCCGGAACCAACTCACTTAGAATTACAGAAAAATCTTTAGCGTTACTGTCTGCAGCCAGCCTTCCGTGCAGTTCTTCTGCGCTTCTTGATGAGGTTTCAGCACATTGTGCTTAGTAGCTCTTTGGACTTCTCGGGCTTCCTTTGAAGAGCATCTTTGCTGCTTTGTATTCTTATATTCCACACCTCATTCTTTTGCAACTTGTATGAAGTCTGAAAGCAGTTTTTGTACCCCCGTTTGTTCTAGGGAACCATCGCAGCTCTTCTGTGGTATTCAGCTCTGGATGCTGGCAAGTCAGCGTGACTTGTGAGGGATATCTCCTTACAGCATTGCAGGAGGTGTAGGAAAGATCGAAGCCTAAATCATACAGCTCTCCAGATAATTTTGCCTTGAATGCCAAGTTTGAACAGCATAATTAACAGTACAAAGCAAAATGCTTCTTTGATTTTTATCACAGCTTGATCTGAGCTGCTGTATGTAAAGGCTCAAACTGTTACTGTCAAATTCAATTCACAAAGTTTGATCTCACGTTACTATTTGTATTTTCAAAGCCTATTGGCTTTAGTACCCCATTTCTTATGAACGGGAAATATGAATGAAGCTTGAATTGGCTGCAAAAGCCTTCTTAGTATATCTGTGACTGTCACTCTCATTTAGTGAACTTGGCTGAAGAAAGGCTCTTCATCACTACTGGGGAAATATTAATGACAGGACTGGACTGGCCTCATCAAGCTGGGCTCATCAAGCTGTGATTAAAAACATGTTTTTACGGGGGACAAATTTCAGTGCCTTTAGCCTTAACAAATCGCAGGTGTGTGCCTAAGGAGCCTTTCCCAGTTCTTTCCAAGTTCAGAAGTACTCGTGTACGTATGAATAAAAATCAATTTGTACAATTTTGGGGATGTTAAGATCTCAAGGAAAGCATCTCACAAATGGAAGCACTGTTACAGATTTGTGACTCTAAAATTGCTTGCCCAGCAGCTGTGACGGTGGGTCGCACGCGTAAGGAAACGTGTACGTATTTTGGAGTCTCTGGATTAAGCTACATGTTTTTCATCATCATTACCTTTAATTTAGTAGTCAGACATAGTTGCTATAAAACAAGATATTTTGGTTTTGAGTTCTCCACTTTGGCCAACAGTCTCATGTAGCTGACTTTGGTACTGTCCGTACAAAACTTCAGCTTCTCTTGTTAGATCTTGGGCTGCGAGTTAGTGCAGACAGAGGCTGGAACCGCTCCGCTGCTGGCTGAGTCTCGTGATTCCAGGAAATTTGAGACTTGTTGACTTCTTGTGCTGGCAGTGACTGGGCTTTGCATAGGTCACGCTTCTCTGTATTGCTCCCTTACTGAAACTTGAATCCGCAGATCAAAAAGGGGACTAAAAGGCGAAAGCAAAATCCTTTACAAGTACAGTGCAAGTTTAGCCCAGAGCGTTGTTTCTGGAGCAGCGTAGAGTTTCACCAACGGGATAAAGCTGGGTTGGCGAGTCACACGAGCTAGCGACTGGAGCTATTTCAGTAGAGCAAAGAGCCCTCGTGTCTTCAGTCACACAGCTGAAGGCATGCCGTAGCAGAGCAGTAATGTTACTGCTTGCTCAGAGGTGGCTGGATATTCATGGTGCTGCCTTTCCTTGGACCTGCGGCCAAGAGTTGACCTACAAGAAGTGTGCCTGAGTTTGGGTGCTAAAGCACCTTGTCCCTGGTGAAGTGGGCGTCTCGGGGAGGGCACTGCACAAGTTGAAATGCTTGCTGGCTGCTGTAAACGGATAAATATATCACAGCAGTTGGAAGTGTGGAGTTGTAACCCTTCACCTTGTGCATAAAGCCTGATCGTGCTACATACACAAATTTTACACGACTTAAAGTTTGTTCTGGTTTACATGTTGATTTTTTAAATTGTTTTCTTGACTAATAAACTTAAGGAGATTGTTCCAGACCTTCTCATGTTTGTTACTGAGTTAAATGTTCTTGGTAATTAGTTGAGTGACTTAGGAACAGTGACTTAGGACACATTGTTTAAGCTTATTTCAACTGAAGTAATTACTTGTGCTCGTTAGATTTAGAGCAGCATGGTTCCTATCAGCTTGGAGTTGGAAAAAGTACATGACTTGTTCTTCGTGTAGTAAAACTTCAGGTATCAAAACTTGTATATTGAATTAAACAAAAAAAATGAACCTGCATTAATGCCTGGCTTGTTTTGTGTTTGATGTAGTGTTGATGACATAAATGAAAAGCTGCGTATCTGTGTAATTTAAATTATTTGGGACTGTTTAAACTTCTGTAAAATAGATCAGTTGACGCATAAAAGTTTCTCTGTACGCTTCTCTTAAACTTCAACTTTTTCTAGGTTTCTCTAGTAGTCACTCTTGAAAGAAAGCATGTAGAGAATCAAATCAAGTTATGTTCAGTAAGATGTATAGCTGGTAATTTCCTTTTGTTCTCTAGTTCACTTAGGATCCTTTGCTTTCCTATATCACCTTTAGGCAGTCTGCAAGCATTTTATGAGCTAGTTTAACTCAGCTAATGGATATAGATGAGGCCAATACACGAACCTTTTATAAAATCAGAAGCTAAAGGAATAGTCATATGAGCACGGATTTCTAAATTAAGCAGTTAGTTTACAGGGAAATCAATAAACCCTTTTTTTCTTGATTTCTTTCTGTCTCTACTTCAGAAGATCCATTGTATTACGAACTTGGTTATAACTCTCATGCTTTCAGATGTTGATCTGTATAATACTGCCTTCAGCTGCAAACCTATTAGGAAGAAATCTTTCCATTATCAATGGTCAGTTGACATTTTGATTTCTTTAAAAAATATCACGGATCTATTCAATAATTTTTTTTGTGTTTTCACTTTTGAAGCGATGCTGCTCTGCAATGTGTCTGTTCATGTAGATACACTTCAAATATTTGTGTTTTTCTTCCAGGAGCTAAGTGACCTGCAGCGAGACCCGCCGGCCCACTGTTCTGCCGGACCTGTTGGAGATGACTGTAAGCTCTTCATAGCACCTTGCCACGGCTGACCTTTTCTGGTGAAGGAAAAGCTTAGAAAATCTCTAATCACTTTATCTTTTTGATTTGCAGTGTTTCATTGGCAGGCAACTATTATGGGACCTGTAAGTATAATAGTTTGTTCCCCTTAGAAAGTAGACATGTCTCCTTTTTTGTTACAGAAAAATTCATTTGGGTGTCTCTTAACACAGTATTTAAGTTCAGCTGTGCTATGTACAGATTAAAGATTTGGGGTATGCATTGTTGTTTTTAGTAGTCTGGCACTCAGTTCTTCTTTAACTATTCAAAAAAATTCTGTAGTCTTCTTTCTGAAATTTCAGTTGACTGATTAAGCATCCCTAATGTTTGAATTGGTGATGTGGGCTGCAAACTCAAGAGCTTGCTTTTCAGAGATCATCATTTCCGTTCTGGAAGAGAAATAGTTGAAGTAATCCTATGTTAAAGTTGTGAACTGTAAACAAGAGTGGTGTTGCACAAGGTGATTTGGGGGCTTTTAGAACTGAGTTGAGAGCTGTGATGTGGCTCTGGCAGAAGCTGATGGCTTTTGGGAAATGTAGTCTCCATTTGTGGGTACTTCTGGTTTCTGTGTGAGAAAGGCCTTTTTTGGGTTGAGTGAGATTGCTAAAGATGTGATTTATGACCCTTGAAGGACATGACATAAGAAAGGGCAATATATATTAAGAATGGAACATTCTGAAGGAAAATTGGAAAGGGTTTCAGCAAAAAGAATGAAGAACAACGTGACCTGAGGAAAGGGGTGTTTATAAATACCACAGCAAGGAGATTGTATTCCTAGCGTTTTCCTTTTGGACTTGGTAATTTTGAAAGAAGAGCTTCTGGTTCAGATACTGAGCTGAAAATTTGAGACAGTACTTAATCCCATGAGATGCAGCATCACATGGTGGAGAAAAGTGAAATTGTGGCTAATTTGAGGCTATTTCTGCATTTCCATCACAGCTGCTCTGGAGCAGTAAAAGACCAGTTACTAGTTTGTCAGTGATGTGACAGTTTGTGGTGATGCAGCAGCCACTCGAATTATTGTGACAAGCTTTTCTATAGGATACTTGTATTTATGCCATTGTTCTTTGGCAGCTGTGTTCCTTCGCATACAAAGTCATTCTGCTCTTGCCCTTCTGCACTGCCTGAAGGTGAATGGCAAAACAGCAAAGAATATCAAAGAATATAGAGTTAGGAAAAGCTTCTGTGCTGATTGCCATCAGTAATGTCTCTGTTCTGAATGACTTTGACCTTACCAAGGGCAACACTAGCACATAAATCCCAACTTAAATTCTTATTTTTCCAGCTCACAATTCGCCTTTCATACCTTGTAGTGGAAAATAGTCTTTTCTTCCCTTCAGGTTCATCAGATTTCTCTAGCTAAGGATAACAGTGAGCATCTCGTGCCAACCCTTCTCAGCCGTAACTGTCAATGAGAAAAGCCACACTATCAGCACTTTTGCCTTGACAACATAACTTTGTCTTGATAACATGAGGAAATAGGAGTACACATCCTGTACATCTTCTGATGGGCTGAGGGAAGCACAGGACTATAGCTTTCCTTTGGAGCTCACTTCCTATATGTGGAAGTAGGGTATCCTCCTGTCTGCACATCATCACTTTGATGTGCCTTACCCACCAAACACTGTGTGACTTTGCTTCGCCTTCTCCTTGGCACTGAACTTGTCTGATCTTCAGCTTATTTTAACTTTGAAAAGTCCATTTACTGTGCATGCAAGCAGTCGTTTCAAACCTAACTGTGAGTGGCAATCTTCTCTGATGTTACCTAATGCTGGCTTCTTAGCGATACCGTATATAACCTGCCTTATGTTGCAACACTGTCTGTGTTTTGAGTGTGTAAGACAACATGTCATAGGGGACCATTTGTGACTTTGCTTCTTCAATTCATCTCTAAAACTGCAATTTTTGCTCATTTCTAAGGTAAATGTTTTATCTAAAAAAAACAAACAAACAAAAAAAAACCTGCGCTTACTCCCATAAGAAAACCCAAAACTTCTCCTGCAGCTTTGCTGAGACTGAGTTCCTGTCTTGCTGTTTTAAACTTCTTGAGTAACGAGAGAGATTTTTCTTCTCCTTCCCTTAATTTGAACTTGAAGTGCTGCTCTGTCATTTAGCATTGAGACATTTTTCCCCACTTTTCTAGTAAATAAAAATGAAAGATTTCTTCAACAGCTGACTGCAACAAAGTTATTTCTATCTATTAACTGTGTGCAACCTGGACGTAAACCTGTGCACATGTTCTCTAACAAAATGCATGTTCACAGATTTGTACAGGTCACAAAGATGTTGTGTGTTTTAAAACTCCCTGATGTCATCATGATCACCTGAATTAAGTTGGAAAATCCTACTCTTTGCATCTGCAAAGAGAAACCACTTCTTAAGGTAAGTATATTTGTAGCTTAACGATGGAGGAAGATCCCGAATGTAGCAGAGCAGCTGTGGTGTTGTATGGAGACAGGATTTGGAAGACCTGCTCTTGGTCCCCTTGGTGCCATGGAGCTGAGCTTCCAGGAGTGCCTCACAGCCCAGATACTGAGGAGGGAGCTAGTTTGGAGCTGATGGATCAGCAGTTTTGTAGCTCCACCAGTCAAACGCTGCTCCCCTCCTTCCCCTCCCCGAGAAGGGCAGCGCTCAGTAGCCGCGTTGTGCTACTGCAGTAGTAGCCACAGCTGGCTCTACTGTCACATCGCTGGCCAGTGGGAGGGTTCGGTATCCTCAGTACACTGTGGGCTGCATACTGGGGATAAAAAATGAGCTTTCTAAGTTACTCATCCATTTGGGAGGTTCTCTGCATTCAGAAGAGAAGCTCCACAATAACTGAAATATATTAAGGGGTTTTGTTTCTTTCTTTTTTTTTTTCCAGCCTGATAGTGCATATCAAGGGGGAGTATTTTTTCTCACAGTACACTTTCCAACAGACTATCCTTTCAAACCACCAAAGGTAAGTCCTTTGTCTTCAAACTTAAACAGTTTTGAGGTCAAAGCTGTGTCTAGATTTTAGCTGTCTGGGGCTTTCTTTTGGGAGTTGAAACCAGAAGGGCCAGTGATAGATTACATAGGGGATGAAATGAATCCTAAAACTGGGTGACAGGATGAGAGGTTGTACAGTATGCTGGGTTGGATATGGCAGATCGACTATGACTGGAAATGAAGGGACAATGTGAATGATTCCAAATGTAAAAAGCAATTTCGTGTTACTTCTTACTTTTTCACTTTTTTTTCAATTCCAGATTGCTTTTACAACAAAAATATATCATCCAAACATAAACAGTAATGGGAGTATTTGTCTTGATATCCTGAGATCTCAGTGGTCACCAGCTCTGACTGTATCTAAAGGTAAAGTCACAGATATGCTAATAGATTTATGAATTTGCATACACTGCCATGTGTTGTTTTTTTCTGATGTTACTACGCTGTCCAAGGGTGCCATTGAGAACTCGTTTATCCTGCATGTTACAGCAGCGGTAATTCCATTGGAATCCTTGTTACGATCCAAGATCTCACACAGTTTATTTGGAGTTTCACATGACATCATACATTATCTGCATGGCAAGGAAATGTTCTAAACCAAATTGGGTGAGATAAAAAATGTCCAATTAGGCTGAAGTGCAGCTTCTGTATTATAACTGACTGCAGGCAGAACTGAAGAGAAACTTCTGAACAGAGCTGCAAAGCCAAATGAATTTGGATGTAAATGGAAAACCCCAATACTGACATGTAGGGAGGCCTCTTGGATTGCTTGTGATTGCCAGAGCATGCTTATGTGGGCTAAGATCTTAATTACGCTTTATTTTGAAATTTAATAAGTTGTTGGATTCCTCTTTAAGATGAATTTTAAAACATAACTGTTTTCTAAGTCATCAGTAAAAGACTTAATTAAATACTGTAATCTTGTAGTTAATTTTTTCTCAATTTGAACACTTGATATTTGGAACATTGTGGTTATGGTTAATTAGTTCTTTTGTTGTAGGCATTTTGTGTCACTTCAAAAGCTGCTTAAAATGTGGCTGCAGTTTTTCTCACCCATATTCAAAATGCTTAGCCATGATCTTAGTCATATTACAGACAGTTATCACGTTGCTCAAAAGATTAAACAGTATCACATCTTGCTTATGTTTTTGAAAGCTCTCTAAACCATGTATCAGTTTTAGAACAGTGTCAATGCACTTGGTATATGAGCAGAAGGAAAACATTGTTGGTCTTTGTCCCATGGAAATTACTTTATGCAGGTGCAGTGTTATAGATGATTTGAAAAGCAGCTTCTGTTCATGCATACCAACCATATGCAATAATTTCAGTAGCTAAATAAAATACAATTTTTAAGGTGTTTTCTCATGTAGCTGTTGAAGACATGAATTACTATTGCGTGTAGCTCATACCAGCTTTCCACAGAAATTGCTTGTTGTATTGCTGAGCAAAAATTGCTTTCTAGTTATTCAGAACATATTTAGTTGGCACCTAGATCATGTTTACCAGTTGGTATTTATCTGGTATCTGAGTTTTCAGATCTTTAGCACTTTTCTGTAAGTGTGTTTACTTTTTTTGAGTGTTCCTTCAGCTCTAAAGAAGAGCAGCCTGCAGGTCTTGTGTGATTTGACTTGACCTGCTTTTAACACGTATACATTTTGTGTTTCTTAAACTGGAAATCAGCTCAGTGGCTCATGGAAGAAATTTCTCGTTTACGGTTCTTGTTTTAGTGGATCAAAGGATTATGCCGTACTGATAGCACCTCTGATTGGTGTCACTGAGTGTTGTAACCTGATTTTCCAATGTTACTGGTGTATTTGGCACCTAATAAAGTGAAATACGTCAGTATGAAGCTTGCTACTGCTGTAAATACGTGTTAGTCCAAGCTTTTTGTAACAAGACAAAGCAAGGGGAAAAAAAGTCATATTCTACAGCAGATTCTTACTGTAGCATCAAATTCCCTTTCACAACCTATTGTGAATTGGCGAAGTGAGTGCTTTTGGTATCCGTGTTAGTTCTGAGTTTAAAATTGAAGTTACCTGAAATATGTGTGGTGAAAGTGTTAGAAAAATCAAATGTCCTCAGATAGATACCAGGAATCAAAACTAGAATGATAAGTGAGTACCCGCGTAAAAACCTGATAAAATGTTTCCCTAAATGGAAGCGTCATATCCATCAAATCAAGTGAAATGCTCATATGAAGGAGAGAATAACACCAAAGAAGTGGAGAAGGATGTGCACAAATCCCGTGTTACATGGTAGTGTAATATTAATGATAATTTTAAACAATTGAAGATGTAAGGACTTCATTTGATTGAACGTTGATATGTAGCTATGTACTCTGTAGCTTAATTTTCATAGGTCAAAACATGGGAAAGAGATAATTACCAGAGGTATAAGTGCATGGACTGTGAGTTCTCTAGGCTGTTATCAGGTGTTGTTTAATGCCTACCTAGAAAAATGGTGCTTTATTAACACTTCTGAGCAAAACTGCTGTCCAAAACCTTAATACTGATATGCATTCTCTTTCTAGTCTTCCTTTTTCCACTTTCTGTGTACTTGAATATATTAAAGGATTATAGAAATGAAGTGAACTAACTTGTTTAATCTAGTATCTTTTTTATTTAGTTTTATTGTCCATATGCTCCTTACTTTGTGATCCTAATCCAGATGATCCTTTAGTACCGGATATTGCACAGATCTACAAGTCAGACAAGGAAAAGTGAGTATGACATAATTATGCGTATTTATGTGCGTGGTACTTGCAGGTAGTGATTGGCTACAACTGTTTACCATATTAAAAAATAAATAAATAAATAAATAAATAAATCTCTTTACATAGCTTTCTACTGTATAGAGGATTAGATATTTATATCTTGAAAATATCTATTGGTAGAATAGCAAGCAGGAACCTGTAGGTGTACACACCTGTTGGATACTTAGTTTTATGCAAATAAGTACAAAAATATCATACATTTATGCTGTGTGTTAATATTTATTTTTCTTTGCATAAAAAAAATCCCACGTAAGAATTATTTGTTGTCACAGCTTCATGAAGATTTGAGTATTGCTTTTACATTCAGGACTGGATAGAAAAGGAGTGAGGGAGAAGTCACATGGAAGTTTAAGGTCTAGTATTCTTCACTTGAGTGAGAATTATTAAAATGGTTTTTTTTTCTGACAGTTCAAAATCTGATACAATCAAATCATATAAGCCACTTTTGAAATGCTTGAACGGTGGCTTGTTCTGCAAAGCAGATTGTTCTCAAGTTGAGGACGTTGTGCTTCAGCTTCTGCCCACTCGTGTCTCTCGTTCTATCCATCCACTTAGTAGTAGTTTCAGCCTCCTGTTTGTAAAGGAGGTGAACAAGGGATATTTCTCCATCTCCACAACTTGAAATTGAATCATTTTAACAGAAAGTAGAAGATTAAATTTGTGACTATAGCTCTGTCTCTATGCTTTTCACCCACTGAATTTTTACTATCCTGTTAGATTTGGGAAGTGAATAACAGGGCTGGTTACCCCGAGTGTATAACTGAAAATCCCAAGACTTGAATGAGAACATATTCTTAAGAACAAAATAAGTTAGTACAAGAGTTGGTATGTTGATCTTAAGAAGTGATTTTGAAAAGAATTTGTCAGCGTTTCCTATGGAAGACACAGAAAAAAGCGAATATAGTCTGAAGAGTAGAATGTTAGCAAGTTCAAGGACCAGAGGCCAAGTTGCAGACTCTCCAGGGAGGCTTCCCTCTGGGAGTGCTGGTCGGCTTCATACCAGAAGGAAAAGACCTGACACTTAAAATCTAGTCAGAAATGCTTTTCAGGAATTTTTCCTTTCAAGTTCTGAAATGTAGGTGGAAGTGTAGAATGGAGAATAACACCGCTGTGCCTTCCATCTGCACCCTTTCCAATGCCAGTTAATGATGCTGAATTTTATGCAAGTTAAACATGTTAGACTTTTAATAGCATACACATTTGGGAATAATTGGCAACCAACTCCTGTTCATGTACAAGTAAGGGAACCAGCTGTGAAATGCAAGCTAAGTACGCACAATACTCATTTTGGTACAATCCTGTAAGATTGGTTTTGAGTTTGAGTCTAAATAGCTTTGAGAGGTAACCTTAACTGAACACATAGTGCATATGTTTCTTGGTTCTTAGACATTTTAACTTTGAGTCGATGCTAAAAGATTAAAAGCTCAATAATGTCTGTATGAAGTAAATATGTGACCACTGTCCATGCATCACTAACAGCTCTTCACTCAATGCCTTCTTTCTGCATGTACAGATACAACAGACACGCAAGAGAATGGACTCAGAAATATGCAATGTAAACTTGTGAAGACTTTTTCATATACCACAGAGTACTGTAAATTCTAGTTTTTTTTCAAACTTAGAAGGAAATGGAGCACAGTTTACTGTTTTAATGTACCATGATGCCCCTTGAATTTTTTATTTTTTCACCCATGTAAGTGTGTTTCTGGAGCAAGGGAAAACAAACTTCCAAAAGTAACCTTAGGACTGTGATAAGAATATTTATCCTCTTTGTATGCTTTGCAGAAGACATTTATTATGGTTTTTAAGAGTTGGACATCTGCATCTTCAAACTGTAAGATCCATAATGCAGTTGTAAAGCAACCAAATTATTTTTGCTGGAAAAAAGTAGCTGTTTTTACGTGATAAATACTGTATGTGTGTCCTTAAGATATGTTGTCCGTTCCATAAGTGTGTTCAAATTTCATTTTGTTAGTTCACTTATATAATATGTATTTTTATTGTATAGACTAAATATATTTTATTTGCCATGTAAGTCATTTCATTTTAGACTTACTTTCTTGTGCACAGTATTGACAAGATACAACTGCTAGTAATGAAAATAATTGGGATATCCTGCCCGTTAGGATGTCCTAATGACTGACTGCAGATTTCTTAAAACCTAAAATGATCTTTGCACTGTAATTCTTTGTACGCTGATTATGGAGAAACACTTGTTTTTGATTCTGTTGCATACTTGACTTAATTTTATTGCAATGTGAACTAATTGCACTGCTATGTAGAAAGATATGTAACCTTTGTGTTGCTATTCACAACTGATTTTTGACATGTGGGCAACATAACACTCAGACCTTTTACAAATCTAAATGTAGCCTTTTCCATATAAATAAAATGCATTTTCTACTATTTGTCTTGGCTGTTTTGTAGAATCATGCATATCCTTAAAGTGCTTGTTCTAACATTAGGGATTCAAAATATGAAGCGTGCATGTGCGTTGTAGACAAAAGGGAGATGAAGCCATGCATCAGATACTGTTTAGATCTGTGTGGCAATTAACTTTTATGCGAGATTCAGCCTAATTTCCTTAGCATGTTATGCCCACTGCTTTATGTAGGATTTCAACCTGTTTAATCACCTACTGTGTGCATATCCATGTATGGAGGAAATACCACAGGTGCTTGAACATGAGTTAAGGGAGCCTGTTTGCAATACCAGAACATCACGGTAAACTTCTCACACTTGAAGCTAACTTAACACATTAACTGGTTTTGTGCATGCACACTCGAGTAGCAGTGGTGCTGGCGAGGGGCGATCCTTTCTTCGAAACTAGATGAAAACCAGAACAGCTCCAAGGGCCTGCTGGAAATTCTTCTCGAGTATCGGACAGCAGAAACGTGACTTGTTTTTTTGGTCTGTGCCTTGCAGATGAAACAAAAGTGACTTACAGTTGGGAAAGTTGTCATCATAAAATAGCTCTGTAAGACAACGAAAATGGTTTTTACTCATTTGTAATGAATGCTAAAGTGGAGTTTGGGGAGTGGGAGGGAAAGCATGCACTGGCCCTAATGGCGTACGTTGGTCTCATGCAGGTAAACGTCACTTCAGTGCTGATTTTATCTGACATATCAATGAATTCTGAAATGGACGTTTGGTGGAGGGCGGCTCTGTTAGTTTTTAAATATCTGTTCAGACTGTAAACTGAAGAAGTGTTTCGGTTTGTTATTAAAATGAGTGCTTTGGGACACTTGCTCTAGGCTGGCAGACGTGGTGGTAGAAACCCTGGGGCACACTGTGATGGGGGCTGTTTGGAAAGCGTTGTACTGCAGCCGCTTCTCCTGTATGAGCAGCTTTCCATCACCCCTACGATTTCTGTCTCCAGCTCATTTTCCAAAACACAACGTGTTTAAAGCCTTCCTTTGGCACTCCGGGCTCGTTCTCCATTCCCTCCCCTTCCCTCCCCTCAGCACCACAGGAGGGGGCGTGGCCTCGCGGCAGGGTCACCTTGGCGACGGGCGCGCGCGGGGCTTCCCTTAAGCCCCGCCCCCTCCCCGTGACGGCGGCGCCGTCGTCCCGTGGAGCCCCGCGCGGGCCGAGCCATGGCGGCGGCGCTGGCGGCGCTGGGCCGGGCCGCGGGGCTGGCGGCGGGCCCCGGGCGGCTCCTCAGGTGCGGCGGGGGCAGGAGGGAGCTGGGGGGGGCTCGGCGGCCGTTAACGGCTGGGCGCTGGCCGTTAACCGCCGCTCCGTTGCCAGCAGGGCCTGCGGCGCCACCTGCGCGGCTGAGGGGGGCCTGTCGCGGCGGCTGAGCTCGGCGGAGCGCCCGAAGCGGCCGCTCACGGCCTATTTCCGCTTCGTCGGGGAGCGGCAGGGCCCGCTCCGCCGCCAGCACCCAGGTACCGGGGCGCTGGGGGGGCTCAGGTTGCGCCAGGGGAGGTTCAGGGTGGAAATGAGGAGATGGTTTTGCTCAGAAAGCGCTCAGGCGCTGGGAATGGGTTGTGCAGGGAGGTGGGGGGGGCACCGCCCATGGGGGTGCTCAGGGAGAGGTTGGGGCTGGTGCCTGGGGACGTGGTCAGAGGGAAATCCTGGAAAGGATTTTTCAGGAAAATAAACGCTTATTTTCGTTTTGTGCCCACCTCAAGTTCACATCTAACTGGAAAACTCATCCAATGAGTCGATGGCATTCAGATAAAGAACAAAACAAACTCAAGTCACTGCGATTTTGTTTGTGGGAGAAAGATGACGTTCAGCAGGAGTAAGGTTAAAGAAAAATATTGTAGCTAAAGGGCTTTATTCTAATAAAGGTTAAGTAAATACGTTGTACAAGGTTGTTGAGATCACTTTATGCTTGCTTTAAAGAATCCAGCAGGCTCTTTTGCCTAAAGATGGGAACTACAAATTTTACTTTTGGTCTCTGCCCCCCACTCCTGCTCCCATTTCAGATCATCTTGTATTACAAAGAAAAAGATACAGCCAAAGAAATAAACTGTTGTAGAGCTGAAATGTTGCTTCAATTTGCAACTGTACGTTTTGTTGCAGTGTGAACCATAAGTGGGAGCCCTCTTCCACTCACCCAAATTACAATTTGCCTCCCCTGCCATGCCAAAGTAGTTACTGTTACGAAAGGAGGAAAATACATTTGTACAGGAGAAAGATAGCAGTGACAGCCTGCTTCAGGAAAATTGAAGAAGCTTACAGAAAATACAGCATTGATCTTGACTTTCTTGCTTTCTCGTTTCAATACACAGAGCTGAGTAATACGGAGCTGGTTAAAAAGTTGGCAGGTGATTGGAGGGAGTTGCCAGCATCACAGAAGCAGGTAAGTTTGTGTCTTGTTTTACGAACCATAATTATACATGGGTGCATGCATATATAATAATGAAAGAATTGTAAAATTCTACTTGTTCAGTGCGTAAGTTAGGAGAGACCTGAACTAAGTGTTGATGAAAGGACCAACCTCTTTTATCCGGTCTGATGCTAATCAGAGACCTGATTGTCAGGTAACTTCCTTTGAGTCTTATTTAGTTGATTTATTTTTTGTTCTAGGTAGCCAAGTTAAGAGTGACAATTGCAAGGGATAGTGTAAAAGAACTCTACAAATACAGTTGCTAGTCACTACAGTAAGTGCCAGTTATAGGAAATTAACAGGTGTTCTTCCTTGATCGCAGTTAGCAATGAGTTCCAGTCAGGAACTGATGGCAGTTAGTTCCTTTTCTGCCTAAACAAGCGATACCTTTTGTTAGTAGTATCTGAGTGCTCTTATACCCTAGCATTTTAGTGCTCCTAGGTCCTTTCTGGACTTCTGTCTCTGTGTGCCTTAGTGTAACGCGTGTCGTTTTGTTGGCATGTCTGAAATGGAGAAGGGGATGGTGCCTTTTCAGATCTACATGTATGCTTGGTAGCCTGGCTCAGCCCCACTTGGTGCTGTAGTATCGAGACCGTGACTTTATGATGCTTCTGTACCCAGCACTGGTGGTTGTAGGAACCTGTTTAGCAACCAAAGCATTTGTGTGCTGCAGTAGGACGCAGTTAAAGAGCAATTGTTTCAAGTGAGCAGCAGCTTTTTCTTCTTGCATGGAAGATTATTATTGCGTAGAGCTGCATCTGAAGATCTGTCAGCTGCCTTGTTATCAGATTAACTAAGATAATTCACAGGGTGGAGCCAGCTTTTAGATCTGTGTTCTCCTCAATCCATTCCACTAAGCAAACAGATTTGATACTTCAGTCTAAAAATCTTAGTTACTTTTTTTTTTTTGTTAGCAGGTTAGAGGTGTTAGCTCGTGTAATGATCACATGCAGGGACCTGAGAAAGCAAGGAGGTGGCAGGGAGGGGTTAGAAGGGATTGCTACAGAAGAGGAATACCAGACAGTGCTGATTACTGAAACTCAGCAGGAACTGAAGTTTTTACAGAAGTACCTTTCTGTAGGTGCTTGTATTTTATTTTTAATGTTGCACTGATACGGAGATCGGGCTATGTCAGGATGAATGTTTCAGAAGGCTGTTTCCATTTTCTAGTAGTTTTTGAGGCACCACAGCTTAGATGAACTGAAAACATCTGGGTAAGGCTGATGGTTGTATGTTTGTCTTGTAGGTTTATGAGGAAGCAAGAAAGGCAGACTGGCGAATATATGAAGAGAAGTTGGCTGCATATAAAGCACAGCTAACTCCAGCCCAGGCTGCGGCTTTGAAGGAAGAAAGGAGGAAACGACTGGCAAAAAGAAGATCATTCAAGGAAAAAGAGAGTCAGTATTTTCAAGCCTATGTTTCTGTTCTCTCAAGGAAACTGAAATCTGTTTGTTGGGTATACAGAGAAGAGTTAAATGCTTAGAACTTACCTTAAAAATAAATACATAAATCGCTGCTGGTGTTAGCAGGAATTTTAGTGGCTTTCCTGTGCTTGAAGACCAGAATTAGCAGGGTATATTTGTACTTCTATTTAGCCTCTCTGCTTTTTTCTTCCTCTTCCTAAATCTGCCTGAGGAACATCAGGTAGTAAGGCGTTTGAACCAGCAACACCTCCCTGCCTTGGGAAAACAGCCAGAAATAGCTTTTCCCAAAGACTTTATATCCGCTAGCTCTTTGGCAGCCCCTGTGAGGAAACAGCCTTTCTGCCTTCCTCCCAGCTCTGCCTCTTTGCAATCTGTGCTGCTGCTGGTGTGTAGAGTTAGGCCTACGTACATGCCTGGCTGTTCGTGTCCTTCATACAGATCATCTTCCCGATTTCCTTGTAGCCTGTTTATTTATAAATCCTGAGAGACAGAACCATCTGTAAAGGTACAGTACTGTGCTTTGCCCAGAGGCAAAATCAGTTCAAAGGTTTACTTACTGCCTATTCACTGCTGTGAATTAAGCTGCTTGCATGATGCTTCCCTAATTGACAAAAGTAAAATGAATATGGTACAAAGGAACCCCTACTTAGAGGAAAATTTTAATCCAAATGATTCCTGCACCACAAGGAACTTAACTGCCGTACCTAATACCTAAGCAGGTGGTACCTTGTAGAACCCCAGCTATAGTGGGAGCGTGTTATGGCTGGAGAAAATGGTAAGTGTAAATGCACCCCTAACTTGCTGTGCTGCCTCACTGTGATCCATGTAGACAAAGCACTCTGACTCAGAAACCAGTTCTTTTTCCTTGGGAATCTGCTGATTCTGTTCCACCTCACTTCCCACCGTTAGCAATCTGCCCTCCTCTCTGCAAGCATACCGCATTTCACACCAGCAACTAAAGCTGTATGAAGATAATAGAAAACCTCTCATCATGACTTTCTTGCTGAGTGGAATTTAGTAACAATCTTTGGTTTCTAGAAGACTTTGCTGAAGTAAGAGTCAGTTCAGAAGTGTTTTTTCCTCCTAAATCTGTGAAAAATCAAGTTTTTAACTTAATTTAGTTTATCATCAGACGTTACAAGTGACGTAAATAACCAAATCATCTTGATATACGGTCCAGTTTACAGATCACTAAATCACTAAAAATTTACCTTCATTATTTTGTGTGTGCAAAGTATGAATATAAGTGCTAAGTTTAGTTTGGAAAAATGTATGTGGGCTAGATTGACTAACTCTTCTTGTTGTTTTTAAAGGAATTGACTGTGCTTGGAAAACCTAAAAGACCTCGTAGCGGCTTTAATATTTTTGTGTCAGAAAACTTTCAAAAAAGTGTGGGAGTTTCACCTGTGGTAAGCCAGGAAAATTTCTTCTTAAAACAAACATGCGTGTGTGTGTGTATGTAAATTATATATATATACATACATATATATATATATATATATAATTTATAAGTGCCTTAACGGACTATTATATTCAGAAAGTCTGTCTTGGATTCTGTGGCTTTTGAAGTAATGTTCAACACTTCAGTATCTACATTTTGCTTAACTAAAATCAGTTGTAAATCAATTCATCTGTTTGGTCTGCCTGCTTTTGCTGCAGGCTGAGTAACTTAAGCTACTTTGTGCGTCTGTTATCTGTAAAAGTGTCTGAGATGATGCCCAGCAAGTCGTCAAACCATGCCATTTACTATTTACCTAGGTTAAGAATATGTAGTATTAAACCTACATGAGTTCCTGCTTTTTTATATTGGTTTATACCCGGCTTTCGGGTTTATACCCGGCTTTCGTCTGTAACCCTCTGTGGTCTGCCTAGTGTTAGAATAATACTAATGTGTTGTGTATTTAACATCCTGTAGGCAAAGCTGAAGAAGTTATTCGAAACGTGGCAAAATCTGCCCAGTTCTGAAAAACAGGTATGTTTGCGGCTTTTGATGAGGCTCTGATCTGACTGGAAAATGACAAATTGTAGTCAATAAATCATTACAAAACCTTGAGTTAGATATAATACTAACAATTATGAACCAGTGCTATACTAATATAACATTGATAGATAATATAGAGGAAACTACTCTGAGATCTTAGTTAAGTGTCTTGAAAAAGATAGTCGTTACTTTTATTCCAGTAATGACCATTTCTTTCACAGTGTTGATGAAACGTGAGTGGGGTAGACTGGAAGTTTTGTATGCCTGGAAATGGAAGGTGAATGGGATTGAGGGAGGGAGGTGGAATAATTTGCAACAATTAGATTTTTTTTTCCTGATAATACTTGTAAATGCCAGCATAGTAAAAGTGATTTTTACATGTCATTTATTAACTTTGGTTGTGTTGGGGATAGTCTTCTGGCAGTATTCACAATGTATTTGAAATACAAATTTGCAGATGGGTATATGAAAAACGGAGGAATGCTATACCAATAAGAAATCTCTGCATTTTTGAATTATTCTGTGCAGTCTGTCCTTTCTCCTGAAGGCCCTTCTTCCAGATTGTTTTGAATGGGTGCTTAGAACATGTGTGAGGTTCATATTCTTTCTGTGGGAGAAAAAACAAAGATGCAGAAAAACCTATTCTTTTTCCTTACATAAGCCTGCTCTCTCAAGTTAGTAATCAAATAAAACACCTTAGTAGTAATATCGAATAAACTTCCTGTTTGGGAATTGCCATGTGTTCACATTCTCAAAACTCATTGGTGGGATTTTGTGGTTTTGTTCAAGTTCAGTGTTTTGTTTTTTTGTTTCGTTTTTTTTTTTTAATTTGCTGGAGGTAAGAGTGGGTGCCTGGGATGCGCATGGCATGGGTCTTGTAGTAAGTTGCCATTGTAGCAGAGGGGAAGATGTGTCCTGGTGATTACCCAGATATAGCCCTTTCCACAACTGCAGAGGTGTGCTTGTCTTCCAGCCATACCTGCAGCTTGCTGAGGATGATAAGGTTCGGTATGAAAACGAAATGAAGTCCTGGGAAGCAAAAATGGCTGAACTTGGACGTCAAGACCTGATACGTTCCAAAGAACAGCAGCCAAAAAAGAAGGCTGCTGAAACTGTGCAGGAAGCTGACCGAGCCAAAGCTCCACTACGTGGAAAGAAGGCAACGTTAAAGTTGAAAAAATCAGAAGAATAAAATAGTTAAGTATTTTATATTTAATCCCCTTTGGCTGTCATGTCTTTATCCTGCTGTGTTAATGCTGCGGTCAGCATTAGCACTTAAGTTTGGAAAACCCATAAAGGGGCCGCTGAGAAGTTGGGAAGGAAAAGTTGCAAAGGAAGGTGATCAGGTAAGAGGAATTCGGTGTTTCTTGGAACTGACTGAAATAATCATTGCAGGTGTAACCTGAGCTGTGTAACGGTAATCGGTTAATCAAGCTGTGAATAGTGGTACTCACTGACATTAGCAGAGCTCTCTTATAATGGTAGATATCCAATAGCTTTTATAAGTTTTTTTTTATGAAAGCAAGAATATTCTACAACGTTACCATCTTCTGTAAATAAGAGCTGAAATCTGAGTAGACACTGCTGTTTTTTAATTCCCTCCATGGTATTGGTAGAGAATTTATTCCCTCCGTGGTATTAGTAGAGAAGGGAAATGTTCAACATTTCAAGAAAAGACACAAGATATGTAAAATACTAACTTTTATGCATCGACCTTTTTGTACGTATCTGTCTGTGTATACCACTTACGTTGCAATTAATTAAAGACCTTATGAGTTTTGTATAAACACATCTATATTGGAGTGTTTTTTTTCCTCTGGCTTTGTTGGGACGCAAACACCTTTGCTATCCTATTGTGATATTTGGGACAGCCTGCAAGGAAAACGTGTACATTTGGGTTTGGGATGTAATAAATATGGACATTTGGAAGAGCTGCTTGGTTTTTATTTCTCCTCGTGCCTCTCTGAGGGAAAGCCTTGGAGAGAATGGGTGCTTATGGGAGGAAAAGGAGCTTTTCAGGAGTCGCTTTCCCCTGGGCGGCAGAACCGAACTCGCCCTGAGGTCACAGCGCCGTTTGTGTCACCCGCAGCTCCCGGGGCAGCTCCGAGGGGCGGCGAGAGCCTTGAGGGGGCGTCCTCCGGCTTGTGCTCGGGGCTCTCCCCTCAGCCCGGCCGCTCCCCCTCCGCTTCCCGCCGCTCCCCTCAGCGCCGCCTTCCCGCCCTCCCGCCCGGCGCATGCGCGGCGGCGGCGGCGCGATGGGGCTGCTGGAGCAGTGCGAGGCCGCCTTTGGCGCCGCCGACCTGTACCGGGCCCTGGGCGTCCGCCGCGGGGCCTCGCCTGAGGAGATCCGGCGGGGCTACCACCGCGCCTCGCTGCGCGTCCACCCCGACCGCGTCCCGCCCGAGGACAAGGAGGAGGCGACGCGGCGCTTCCAGGTGAGCGCGGGGCGGGCTGCTGCTGCCTGACTGACTGCCTGACGGACAGACTGACCGACTGACTGACTGACTGACTGACCGGCTCTCCCCGCAGATCCTGGGCAAAGCCTACGCCGTGCTGAGCGACGCGGAGCAGCGCGCCCTGTACGACGAGCAGGGCCGGGTGGACGAGGAGGGTGAGGCGCTGCGGGCCGAGCGGGACTGGCAGGAGTACTGGCGGCTGCTCTTCAAGAAGGTCAGCGCCCCCCCCCCAGCATAAAACCCCTCGCGATTTAACCCAAAACGCTGCTTTGCTGCTTGGGTTTCTCGTGTCTGTCTCCTGAATGCCCCCCCTCTCTCCTGCAGATCAGCGTGAAAGATATCGAGGATTTTGAGAAGACCTACAAGGATTCGGAGCAGGAGCTAGCAGATGTCAAGGCGGCGTACATGGATTTTGAGGGTGACATGGATAAAATAATGGAGTCTGTGCTGTGTGTGGACTACACGGATGAACCGAGGATAAGGAAAATCATAGAAAAAGCCATCGACCTCAAAGAAGTCCCATCCTACAAAGCTTTCGTCAAAGAGCCTAAGCAGAAAGCCCTGGCAAGGAAAAGGCGGGTGAGTACCAATCACAAGGAAACACTGTATATGATAAGCATTTATTCTCCCTGGGTGGAAATAAGTGAAATCGTTTTTAAGAGAAATGTTTGCCACAGGATTGCTGGGTTACAGATCTTGCTCAGCATCTTTGACCACCACCACAAGTCACCTGTGTTTCCCAACTCCCCTCCAAAAATACTCTTTCCACTAATTTCAATCAAATTGCTGTGAAAGGTTTTTGAGTAGTGACAGGCTGTTGCCTGTTACTTCCTCCTCCTATGTCAGCATTTTTCACTATGGCTTATTGGAGTTTAGCATGTCCCTGCATTCATTTATATAGCTGAAAGTTGCTGGAGTTCAGGTGAGTGCATGGGAGAAATATAATATGCTTGCCTAGTGGCAAATGTGAAATAACATTCTGGATAAATGAACCTTTTCTCCAACCTCCTGTGATTTTTTTTTTAAATTATTTTTATTATTTTTTTTGACACTTTGTACAGTATGTTATGTGCATGTGACAGTAACCTTCAATTAAAGACCATGTAATGGCTGCTAGGACAAAAAAAGAGGGGCGGGGATGGGGATGGGAATGTCATCGTGTTCAGCTCTGTGAAACAGCAAAAAAAACCTGCCCTGCTCTACCCAAGTGGGGAACCAGAACAGGCTCTTTGATCTGTGGCCTCACTTGGAAACTGTGTTTACTTGTGGGTATTTGTATACAGATGCAGAATCAAGTGTTCAGCAACTATTTTACCTACTCAAATAACATGCAAAATACTTTCCTAAAAGTTAATTTGCTACTTCAGGCAGAAAAAGAAGCAAGAGAGGCAGAAAAGTGTAAACAAGAACTGGGCCTTGGTGATGGAGAAGATGACCTGAAAGCGCTGATTCAAGTAAGGCTTTTAGCATCTGTTGAAGATACTTGTGGTACTGGCTTATATCTGTGTTTTCCCTGAGCATCTCTACAGTTTGGATCTTTGCAACTCTTCTTAGCTTCCTGAGGTTAAAATGTGACCTAATGCTAACTACATACTTCATTTAATAGGCAAGAGGACGGTATGGATTTTATTGTCTGCATCTTTTAAAAATTAACCAAGTTATTTTAATGTGCTCATCTTTACTGTATACACAATCAAAATATTTAACTTTTAGGTGGTTAGACAGGGAGTGTTAATGCTTTTTTTTTCTTTCTGGGGGATTCCACAAGGTTTCCAAAGTTGATCAGTCTTACTGTTCTGTTTTGATGTTTTGGGGAATGAGGAAAGAAACATTCTGTTTAGGCTTTGGTTTGGTTTCCAGTTTTGGCTTTCTTCATGTCCAGTGGGATTCCTAGGATTTGACATGTAACCATTCCTCAAATTGTATTTGAGTTTGGGGTTTAAACTAGAAATTGCTTTGCTTTTCCTAGCCTTAAGTTGTGTATTTTTATGGCCTTATTTACCTCTGTTTTGATACTTGCAGAAGTCAGGTATAGAGCCCAAGGGATACAATAGGCTTTTGCTTAACAGAACTACACCTTCTGTAGCCTGTATTCCCTGCTTAGTACATTCCAGGGTTTTATGTAGCTATCTAACTTCATTAGAACAATCTGTATTGAGCAGTAATAAAAGGTTTGTGTTTTCTTCCCTCCCACAGAGCAGAAATAAAGATCGTAAAAAGGAAATGGATGACTTTTTGTCCCATCTGGAAGCAAAATACGGGAACAATCCTAAAAAGGGAGGAAAGAAGACTGCAGCCAAGAAAGGGAAGAAATAAAGGACTACGTAGGCTGAAATGAGAGGTATTATATTGTATGGGACCATCTGGATTTGGGAGAATTTCAGGGGTTTTCTGGACTGCTGTTTCAGAGCGCGTGCACCAACTTGCTGTGACTGGGAAGTAGGGCGCAGAATACATCGTGAATGACAAAGCATTCTGGTGCTGCTGTTTAAAGTTCTTTGGTGCTTTTTAGTTAAAATCAGATTCTTGGCTGATAGTTTTGTTACAGCAAGGAAGCGATGAGATGGTTGGGATGCTTGTCTGTTTATTAAAGTCGCATTGAAGCGTGTTCCCTCCAAACACTAGGGGGGGCATCAGTGCTGCTGATGGGAAAACCATGTAATCCTGCACCTTCAGGGTCCTCAGCAACAGTTCCTGTGGCTTCTGACTTAGAAACCTTCTCTTTTTGTTGTTCACGCATTTCTTTTCTAACAAACCTTGCGAGGCTTTTAAAGGTCTTTGCACTTCAGTTCATCAGATGTTTTTCAGATACTCCAGTGGTTTTATAAGAATCCTTTTGAAAATTGCAGATTTAATAAACGAAGATTTTGCAGAATTTTGTGCTATCTTGCTTCCCCAGCCCTCTGTTTCCTAAGTAATTGCTCAAAACAAAATGATTACATTAACTCTTCTTAGGGTTTTGAGTCAAATGAATACTGTGCACTTTTACTGCATCTACAGCTATAGTGTTAATTGTGCTGGTGGTTGACAGTGAGTAGATGCCTTGAGAAGAAAATGAGCCTACAACAAGTATGTAAGTGACTTTGCAGAAGTTTTCCTAACATCTAACACGCTGAGCTGATGTAATAGTTAGAAGGACAGAACACGGCAGTTCTGTGTATTTCTAGGGTTTGTGATGTCCCACAACAAGGAGTTCCAAAACTTCAAGGTGCATCGTGTGTCATTTCAAAGGCATCACACCCCAGGCACTGTATGATGGTAGTGGTTAGTTACTTCTGCCTCCTGGTTTTGTGTGCACTGTGTTTGTCACCAGTTGTTACTTCAGAAGTGAAGTACTCCTGTAACACGTGCAAATATTCTGAAGGGTTTTTATTTCAGCTCTTTTTAAACCACTTTATGTATCGTGGAGGGGTATGAAGTTGAAGGGTAACTCTCTTGAGCCTGCTGTAGCTCAAAGGAATAAAGCTGGCTTTATTTTGTGGATCATTTCTTAAAGGCTGAAGAGCTACAAGGTGACCACTTACTTCTGAGTTGAAGATCCTCATCATTTCAGTGACAGAATTCAGAAACAAGTTAACAGAGCTCCCTTGGCAAGCTGGAGGTAGAAGGGGAACTCTGTTCCCATTTACTTGGCTGCTTTAAACATTATTCTGGTTCTGAGTTCAGTAGATTGCTGTGTTGCTTAGCACACAGGCCTTGAACACAACTTTTGCTACACAAAACAGGTACCTAACAGTGCAGGACAAGTCTCTGGTGTCAGCCGTTTGAACGGAAATCAGAAGTTACCTTACAAGAGACTGCTTTCACTTCTGTAACTCACTGACTCCCCTTAGCTATGAAATACTACATTACTAGAAGTCTGTTCGAGTTTATGTATTTTTGTAACTGACACACTAGGGCTACTGAAAACAAGTCCCTGAGGAATGGCACTGGTACAAACAGGATGCTCATCTCCAGCTGAGATAACTAAATTCTACACTACACAGTGTTCTGATAGCCTCAACAGTTAGAGAAACTTTTGAAAGGGTTTAGTGACTGCAGGCTACTTTCTAGCATCCATTTAAAGAGATTTATATCGAGATCACGGCTTTTTTTCCTCTGGAAATGCAAAGGAAGGAGTTATCCTATTTAAGTTTGCACACTTCTGCTTTGCTTTCTTTTTGATCAGTGCATACTTGAACAAACTGGACTGAAGAACGTGAATCCAGATCAAAAACTATCAGCTGTTCTCCAGGTGCAACTAACACTCGCTGGACTGCATAGCTTATGGTGGAGAATTACGGGAGCCACTTCAGAAAGCATTCTGACAAGTTCTTTCCATTATGAATTGTAATTTAGAAAATATCAACAGTAAAGAGATGTAGAAAAAGTGCTTTTAAAGGGGATTATAATGGAACAACCACTTTCATGCATTATCCTAGCTGTTAAAATACACAAGTGGTTATCTTCAGCTTGTCTTTACACTTTCTTGTAGTCTGGCTTGGGAGTAAGACCTTCAGCTAATCACTTATTTTGAAAAGCTTCCATTTCATGTTTTTGTTTTCCCTGGAGCTACAAGGGCAAGGAGCTGGTATCTGTAGCACGTCTATCACACAGTGCAGAGCACGTCTACTATAAGTGATGTTGCAGCTGTGGGCCTTTGTGGCGGAGTGCAGAAATACAAAACTGCAGGTTTATTTTAGAAAAGGAGACTGTGGATTTACCATAAAACACCTCGCCAGGAAGACAGTGTGCTTTCTTTGGATACAGTCTGGACTTACATAAAGCTATTCCTTTTCCCACCTTAAACCTCCTTCAGACACTGAGGAAGAGGTATAAGTATATAACACAGGAGGGTTCGGTGGTATGCTACCCCTAAAGCTGTCAGTTCTCTTCATCTGTTTTGCTACCTTATTTTTACACAACAGCATTAGCATCTTCTCCAAGTACTACAGAATTCATAACTTGTCTAAGTTGAGTCATAGAAGCAGTAGCATATGTAGTGCTTGCTTTTAATAATACAATATTGCTTCGAGTATATAAATACAGCTTTAAACATAGCTTTAAAAACTTAAATTACTACTGCTAGGGAAGGCCTGATTTATCTTTCGTAGAGCTGATCAGCAGGTTCTGCAGTACCTGCCTGTAACAACATGAACCAGTCACAAAACAGTAATAAATAATGGGAAAACAGCAATGATTTAGAGTATCTGCTAGATTTTCTAGGAGTTACGCTTCACTGTCCACTGGAGTACAGCTTTTCCTAGTGGTAGAAAATGGAATGTGCAAGTATATCCCTTCTAATCTTTGGCAGTTGCTTCTTAGATTTATATAAAAAATAAGATTATTCCTAAGAAGGATGTTTGAAGACTCTGTAAACAACACTGACATTGCTGAGAATGAGAGGTGGTTCGAGACTTTCTGGAGATGGATAGATGGATGGATGGATGGATGGATACTTCTTCATGACACGTTAGAACCCATGTTTGTTTTTTGTGACTGATCCGCTTCGACTTTGAGCTTTCACAGAGCCATGTGGATGAAGACCTGATAAACAGAGATCATGTACAACTTTAAGATTTCTACAAGGTATTAAAACTAAGTACCAAATGCAGCTCCTTCATATTAATGCTAAAATGAATGTTTTTTTTTGGCTTCTTATTCTAGCTATCTGTCACTAAATCAGCAGCTTCAAAAAAGATTCAAATAACTTCCAAGGTATTTTGCTTTCCTTTAGCCAGAGGCGTTCTTAAGAGGGAAGTAATCACATATCAAACAACATGATCAGCTGCAAATTGTAAGTTTTAGAAGATGTGACTGTCCTTCCTACAGGGTGAAGTCTGTGCTTTCATCATTGCTGCATTTCTGAGATCTGCTGCATTTCTTCATCTCTATGAAGTATTCAAATCTACAAAGTTTTAGTGATTTTTTTTTTTTGCCAATGCAGCTGTCATAAAACTCATTTTTCATTTAAATTTGTTGGTTCAGGGAGGGGGGAAATACTCATTTTAATAGCGAACACTCCTACCTTGATTAAAACCAAGTTATTTTACTTTAGTGCCTTTATTAAACTCAGGCTGCCTCTTGTACCACTTGTATTGGTGGTGGTTGGCCATTTGGCTATTAATGAAGCTAAAAAACCCCTCCTATCCTCTAATAATCACTTCTGTGCTTGCTACCTTACCCTTTGTAGCTTCCACTAACTTTTGCAGCTTTAACAGCACCTTTTTAGCGTGCTGTTCTTATTTGAGACCTCCAGTAGAACTCTCCTTGACAAACTATTTTTCAGAAATGCATCTCGTGCCCCGCTCTGCGGAGGTGAGACCTGACTTTGTGTTGAGGGTAATGGGGTGAGAGCTAGAATGACGGTATTCCAAAAAGCTGTTCTAGGGCACGAGGGCTAACTTGTGTAACAAAAAGTTAAAATGCAAAATTGAACTTTGAAAAACTTCCTCAATGTAGGAAAGAGGCGCCCGCCCAAAAAGCCCACCTCTTGCTCAATTTCATTAAATGCCATAACTGATAGGCATACCTGAATCTGTTGATCCTCTGCTTGGCCAAGATTGATTACTGTGATCGATAACACTGCAAGAACGGCGACGCTGGGGGTCCGGCTGTAAAGACAGGTCAAGTTACTTACGCTTGCATGAAAAAACCCGCAAACATCAATAATATAATACAACTGAAAACTACTTGAATGTACTTACTTCCTGAGATACCCGATTTGCAAGATGTTCTAAAGGTTTAAGTAGAGCTTTTACATGTTTCAGGAAGGTTAAATCAAATTCAGGGGTAGAAAATACACTTTTCTAACACTTAGAATGACCACTCAAGCAGTTAGGCAGGCCTCTTAATACTTCTAAAAACTGTTCTCCTTCGAAGCAGGTTTTTAGAAGGTTTGAACATTTGTAACTCTAAAGTCAAGGATGTTGAAGTTTTATGCAGAAACTAAACCATCAGCTATTTAAAAGCTGCTGTTAAAATTTGAGCTTTGGAAGCTTAGATAAAAAGTACTTTTGTACTCTCATCTGTGAGTGTAGCTGTAGAAAGCACTTCCTGAAGTCTATGTAAATAAGCTTGAAAGCATCCTCTATTACCCCCACCATTCTTACAAAGCTTTCAGAGACGATGCTAGAGTATCAGTACAGGTGATAGATTGAACGTTATACCTAACGTAAAGCTTAGCTTATTTCAGAAACATCTCAAATATCTTTAAGATACTTCAAGAAAAACGTAGCACCACCAGCTGCATATAGGTGTAGTCAGGAGCTGGCTGGGAGCAGTACAGTAGGACCCATGCCCCCCCAAAAAAATGACTTTCTCTCTTTGAAGTTCCAAGCAATGATGTTTTTGCTAACCTGTGGGTTTCTAACCCCAGGACAAACTTGATGGCACCAGTCACCTGTGACATTTGGTTCTCAAATAATGTTCATCTCTGCTAAGTGTCAAAGCACCCGGTTCAGTAAACAAGGATGATTTGGTATCATTTGCCATGCTTTACCAAGAACACGTTGGTTGTTTTAGGCCTGGAGAAATGATCAGGTAAGAAAAGCCTCTCGTGTAGCTGCTGGTGGTTATCTTCATGGGTCGTTACACTCTGAGATCGACTGGAGTTCCCCCGAGATTTCTGCATTGAAGGATGATAAAGTTACGATGACTTCATATTGCAGCAGTGCATTTAAATTAAGTACCCTAGGAATTGAAGCTAATTTTCCAAGTCAGTTATCCTACACCTATTTATGGAAAGAAAATTGTGGCATTTATTGGTTACTGCATTCACCTCTGGAGGATGATGCTGGCCAAATCTGATGCAGAATTTTAGTGCATGTATTACAGCTGCTGTCACGAGACAACGAACAAACTGGGACTCGGGGGTTTGGTAACTGGATCAGCAGTAACTACAATTTCAGAGTGTCCAATAGTAAAACTAAATAGTTATGCCTATTACCGTTTGCCTCTGGGATCCTGTGGTGCCCACGCGCTCTGCCACGTCGGTGGTACTGATGGGTGGTAGGAGATTATTTCGGCTCAGTGGCAGCGGGGAGGGTGAGGTCAGCTGCTCGTATGCAGTCAGACTGAAACGCACCAGTAAGAAAAAGAAAAGCAAAGCTTCTGTGTTTGACATCGCGAAACATAAAATATTGACAGCTTGTTTGGCTTTGTTTAAGCTAAAAATGTTGCAACTAAGAGCAATGCATGCAGAGTTTTGCGGTGAGATGCTCGTGTTAGGGCTGACTACTGGAGACTAGATTTTAAAAAAGGAGTTCAGTGGGTAAAGTTTGGCAGAAATCTAATCTATTAACAACAACTTACAGTTTGTAGGATGTTTAATATTACGCTGATAGGCAAAGCAAGTCTGAAAATCAATGCCAAGCAGAAACTATCATAATCATGGTGATGGGGATATATAAAAGCAAGTTGGTAGTAAAAATGCTCATCGTCTGCAGTTCAAACGGGCATGCTGTGTGGCTGTACTGCAGGATGAAGGTGTATATAGAAAGGTGTTCTCTTGGGCAGCTACTGTGCAATGGCAGAATTGTGACTGCCCATTCCCAGAGGTGGCATTATCATCTGCTCTTTTTTAATAACCTTTAGGGCCAAGTATTGCTTAATGCTAATTTCAGCCCAGCAACTGAAGATGAACACCTAGCTTAGAAAACAGGAGCTGCTCATATACACATATATATTTATTTAAGAGGATATAATCCCTGTGATGAACTAAATACAGTCAAGATCATTTATACCAAACAAAATGGATATAATCTAGACATTTTTTGTTCGTATTAAATCAAGGAATTCACATTCTTTCCCTTTAACTGAATGTTCTTTGAATGAGCTGGGTTCTCTAAATGTGGTAATTTGCTGAGAGAAACTGGTTTTGAAACATACATTCGAGTACCCCTGAAGACATCGTCCACAGATCGTGGGGTCCCAGTACGAGAGTTGCTTGTGTTGATGGGATGCAGGGTACGTGGTGGTGGGTTCTGCCTTCTCGTGGACCTTGACAGAGATGACGTACTGAGCTCCAGAGGGGGACGATTTGGCCACGTTCTGTTTGGGAGGATGGAAGTGGAGCCTGGTCGTTTGTCATCCAGGTCCCTAACAAAAGAAACACGGAAACAAACGGGAGGGTTAATATGACCCTGCTTCCACCGTACGCATCTGCATGTGACATTACCGATGTTATATGAGAACACCGATGACGTGCTGTTGTTTTTGTCACATAACCATATAAAATAATTTACAGCTCAAATAGATAGGGAGTGGAAAAGAAAAAAAAAAAGCCTATTACATATAAATACACTTTAAAAAAAAACTGAATTATGATCTTTTTTGATTGAAGTTGTCATATATATTCTATGAATAATTATAGCTTCTATATTAAGAAACATTGCAAGAGTTTTCACACTCATAGCCTAGATCTAGAATTCCACCTCTAGGAAACGAACAGATCATTCTGAGCTTCATCGCTTTTTGGGATGTCAGTGCGGCAGCTGTTCACTAAAGAGATAAATCAGTAGCAATTATAGAGAAAATCTCTACCAGAAGTATACCGTTTCATATAGGACAAGTATATTAGCAAAAAGAAAATAATTGAGAATTACTTTCTCTGGTATAGAAAATGATCTCTTGCTCTTTTGGGTTGAATCCCTCTCTCTGTGGGAGTGCTCTACTTAACAACAGACTAAATCTATAGCTCTTACAGTGTTTTCTCCATTACAGGCAGATTCCTTTGCTGTAACTGGATCCCATGGATCACTATCAAGTCATTTAGATTACGTTGAGAGCTGCTACTTGAGCCTTGAGAGAGATTTACCTGGAAAATTAAAAATATATATACATATTGTTTGAATGAACAGTAATGAGTTACTGTTTGGTAATGACATACACCCATATTTATACAGTTTGCTAATCATTCTGAAGGAAAGAAACCCATTTCTTTCAGGACACTGAGATAAATACTCAGTTGTTTTATTTCTGCCATCTAGGATGGGCATCTTAGTATTACATTTTTCCTACAAATTGTAGTGCTTAGCAAATGTATCATACCATGCTGTCATATTTAATAATATTTTCCAGCTGAGCCTCTCATTTTCATGACACCGTCTTCCAACAATGGTTATAATCAGGAGTTTTACAAAACTATTTTTTTCAGTATATTTTGACGTTTATTTTATGTCAAGAACAGAACTGGAAACTCCTCTCCTGGAATATAGACTGATCTGGAAAAACATCAAATTCCACCCACCACAGCAATAGCACACAGAAAATAGCAGAGCTTCCATCGTTCCAGCATACATACTTGAGGTGGTTTTCTCCTCTTTTTGGTTTTACGGCCACATCTGGTTTTGGGGCACTACATGTACAGTAACAGAAATGGGAGGAAGACACAGGGTAGAAATAAACAAGAAGTAAAAAGGAAAGAGTTGAATTAAAATGGAATGAACAGAGATAACGCTTTGGTACTTGCCACTCTAGGAGCATATAATCTAAAGCAGACCACACACAGTCAAATTCAGTGTCTGGGGGGGGAAAAAAACAACCGTCTTACAACTTTGCGGGGATTTGTTCTTTATTCCTTTATCAATTAACAATGAATAAGCTAGTGAGAATGGGCTCTCACACAATCTTATATCTCATAGTTTAGTTCAAACTCCGATAGATGTAGAAACAACCGCATCATTAATGAGCAGTCACCACGTGGTAGTCTAATATGTATATAAAATACTAAGTTTTAAAGAGAAAAATAGGAATTAAAATTTGCAACTGAGGAGTAGCAGGACTTAAGTGGTTAGAAAGGACAGTCAGCATCCATGCAAAATCCAAACTAGTTGTGTATCTGAACAGTCCCCTGCCATACTTGCATCTTTGCTCAAGGTAGTATTGTATTGATTGATCTATATGCAAACTGGCTGGCTAAAAATACTTAAAATACTTACCAGATTTGATGTCCCTGAGGGCATTTTAGTTTGTGGCACGCGAGGCAACGACACTGGCGGAAGATCTAACTGCAAAGGGCTTCCAGAACCTGGTCGGATTGTTTCTACTGTTATGATGTTTTTCTCATCATCTGTGCAAACCCAAAGAGAATCCCTGTCAATACAAACTATTGCTGTTGTACTGTGCACAGTACTATAGATCTCTTTTTTGTTGTTTTAAAGAGGAGTCCTCTTAAACACAAAACTCTGTGAAATCTTCTGATGGCATGTCTCACGCTGCTAGCAAAGTAAACAACCTTTTTTACCCTGAAGAGCTGATTCCCAAATGCATCTTTCTCCCGTTGCATCCTTGCAAAACTGAGTAACTGAAATCCCCTTTTCTATCGTCAGTTTAACTGTGATCCTTACCAGAGGCTGATCCTTCCCAGTGTCTGCGGATTAACTCTTCCATGCAGCCTAGGACTTCACTCCACACATCATCAAACACAAATGTGAGCACAGAATCCTTCATGCAGGAATACGGAGAGATAGGAGGAAACCCTAGTTTCCGTCTGTCAGAGCAGAGTCCCATTTTCCTCCCATGCAATTCCTCCTCCCTGTAAAAACGTGAGCTTTATATGTACCATAAACACTGTATATTATCTCCTTATTGCATATATATATATAATTGCATGTATCTCCTGCAATTTTGTTGCAATTACCTAATAGGATTAACACATTAGCTAAGGCTGTATTTCTGCTGTTTCCTCTAAAACTGAAATAGGTCAAGGCAGCTGGCCAAATAGGTTGAAGACATTATTTCAGGAGAAATTTCATATATAGCATATAATATTTTTTTCTGAGAGCCACCAGAACAATGAACAGTAACATCAAATGACTTGAAGAAGCAATTTTTTCCAGTATTTCTGGAATACTTACTGGAACTCTCATATCTTCCAGAATCCACCACTGACCTAAATGAGAAATGACTGAGACAATTGCCTTATCAACTGAATGCCTTGGTTTCTCCATAAAGACTGACTAAAAATGGTATTTGATAATATCATTTTATAAAATACTTGATGAATAATAAATAATTTACAAAGGAGATAAAAGTCCCATTTAAAAATGAATGTTAGCAGTTACAGTGGTATTTGTTCATCCCATTGTTAGGCTCCATATCACTACAGAATTCTGAAGACAAGAGGAATATTACTACTCCTGACTATCTAATACCACTCTCAGCCTGCTGCTTTAACATCCAGGAGGTGCTCAGGGCAAGGGCTTAATTCAGTTGTAGACAATTAGTCATAATCAGAAAGAGGAAAAAAGGAAACAAAAACAGTTAATTCACAGCTGCAATGGACCTCGGCCAAAGACTCCTCCACAATTGCAAGAGGTATTTTGAAGTTTAAAACCTAGAAGATGACTGCTTGAAAAAGTTTTATGTTCATCTGCCAAATTTTTAGAATGAAGAAAAAATACTGATGCGAGCACAGTTGTTATGGCTTCTGTATCTGTTCCTTGAAATGGCTTCTGTATCTGTTCCTTGAATTAGTACTTAACACCAAAAAGCTACAGACCTTGAAATAAAGGAGATACCACTAGAAGAAGATATACTATATTTTACCAAAATTTTATAAAGGCAGCAATATTGTTTACTGCATAATTGTCTCTCTGGCCTGGTCAAAGAATGACACCTACCAGTTTGAATTTCACAGTCCACAAAGCTAAGAGGCTTTATTTATTAAAATCAATTAAGTAGTTAGCAGCTGACATCATCCAGAGTTCCTACCCAGGCCGTATGTTCATATTGTTCAGCTGGATAAAGTAGCAAAAAGAATTAGTCTTTACATCACTCTTAATCCCTTCTTTTTAAGAAAAAAAATAGTGGTAATTTTTTCTTGGCAAGTATCAAATTCACACTGATTCTTAAATTACCACTGAAGAACTGTAAAGGTACAAAATCCCACCCATAATGCTTATCTGTACAGTGCAGTAGAAAGCAGAGAAGCACACTGCTAGTGCACGACAAACAACAATGAATTTGACTTAGTAGAACAAATAAATAGCATTTAAACAAGTTTTAAATATGCCAATGTGTAGTAGGTTCTTAGTTATGATGGAATGAACTATTTAAACCAGGAATAAAAATAGCTAGTATGACAAACTATATAAATTTTAGAAAAATATAGCAAAATAAATTGCTCTAGGAGATGGATAAAGAAAATTCCCAGTGCCCTGCCAACCTCAGGCTTCTGAAAGTTCTCAGGAGGAAAACAATAATTAAAAATATCATCAAATACTTTACGAATCAACAGCAAAACCAAATATGTAAGCCTTAAGAGCAAAAATTCTGGGACACTGGTACGATCTTATGCTCAGTACTTACACATCTCCGCAGTCAAATGCTAAATATTCCTCCATTACACCTTCAGAGACAATTATTTCATCTTCACCTTCTTCGCTCTCTGGAGAACATAAGGTCAGAGACTTGGAACAGTCGGCCTTTTTGTGAATAGGACTGACAGAAAGAGGCACCTTCTTGCCAAAAACACTAAATCTGCACAGGCGACAGTTTTCAGAAAGCAGAAATGAAAAGAAGTTGTTATTCCACTTCTGATAGCAGTATTTGGTGAGCCAAGAGACTGAGAGACAATGTGGTAGGTAAGGCCAGATATTGGAGAGCCAACAAATATATGCATTACAGTAAAAATTCTTTTGGTTTGGATATTTTAAATTCTTGCTAAGGAACCTGAAACTTCAGGAAAGCAATAAAAGCTAATGAACAAAATAAAATAAAATTAAAAATCTCGAAAACATTTTAAAATAAAAAATTAAGCAGCACTAATGTACTGTTTTGCATTTTTAAAGTACTGCACACATTTAGCACATGACTAACAATAAAACCAGCTACAACATGTACATATATAATACACAGTATATACATATCCTTTTAGATGTCAGCTAACAAAAGGTATTTCTGCTTAGTGACTGGTTTACTGCAGTGAGCAACAAGGACACCTAGATGGTCTTGCTATTCTGAATGTACTTTTTTCAGTTAAAAAGGAAAAGAAAATAAAGTATGCTATGTTCAAAGTTCAGCCTAACAAGAAAAGTTAAATCTTCACTTACTGCTCACAGTTTAAGCAGCCAATTGCTGCTGTGCACTGAGAAAAAAAAAATTACCTTCCCACCTTTGTAAAGCTTGGACCAACTGCTGATACTTACTCATTAGAATCTTTTTCTTGTGATGAGCTTACATCAGATGAACCTAAACTGGCAGAAGGTGAACTCGAATACCATCCATACCCTTCATCTGTGGGGATCACTATCTGCTTCCCCACAACCCTGCCAGGGCAAAAGCAAAGGATAAATACATCAGAAAACACAGAAAGTAAGATTCTTTCAGCGTGTAAAAACACAGCAAAAAATCCTAAAAATTCTACTGGGAAGCTCTGCAGTTTTCTTAGGAATAGTTAAGTGTGGATTTAGTTTTTCCTACTACAGGTCGCTTTGAGTCTGTTAAATCCATTAAGAAAATTTTGCTTGTCTTTCCAGGCCCCGCTAATTGTAAAACTTTTGAATATGGACAAAACCGTTCAAGAATACGTAATGAAAATTTCAAATTGAAGCTTCCAGATAGCCGTAAGGACTGGCTAAGTGAGGTAGTAGGATTTTTTATTTTTTTTTTTAAGCTCCTGGGTTTTAGTTATACATCTTTTCAAAGAAAATTTTGTTATATTAAGGTTAACTCAGTTGCAAGTAGCAATAATCCTTTGGCAAGGAACCAAATTAAGATAGTACTGTTTATTAATGACAATGGCAGGCATATTAACAGAGTGACCTTTTTATCCCTATGTACTATATAATTGCATAAAACCACCCTGCTGTTAATGTTGTTTTAAAAGCAGTTGTTACCAGCCCTACCCCATTATAAATCCGTGACAGTAATGACATTAGCCTATTAATAAAATACCTGAGATGAGGAAAGTTGGATGTCCATTGCTGGCATTCTTCCTGCAGTCCATCAACATGTACACTTGCTTTCTGCTCATAGAGCAGCTCATCAATTTCTCTGAACATCTGCTGAACTCGTTGCGTGGCAACTTTATCAAATTCCTAGAAAGGAAAGTTATCCAATAAGGACTTGTTAAATCTTCCAAATGCTATTCACTTTTTTTTTTTTTATGTTGAAAAAGACATCTGTTTGTTTAAAGCTTAGCAAGTCTGGTTTATACAGTTTTTTGCATAGAAAGACATTATTTAATCTTACCCCTAGAGATAAGGCAAGGCTGCTGTTAGGACTCATGGCAGCCACATAATAAGCTTACAGTGACACAAAAGCTATTAAAATGTTGTGAAATGTCTATATTATTATATTAAAAACATAGTAATTTACATAATATAAACCAAAACAGGAAGGATAATTCTCAGAAACATTTTAATTAAATGAAAAATTTCTTGTTCATAATGACCACAGAAAACAATAGAACAAAACACAATGCAGACTGGTCTGAAACACTGGGGAAGTGAAGGATGCTCAGAACCTCACGTGTTCTCATGTAGCTAGAAAATGGGGTTGGTTCCTGAGTAATTTAAATCTAAACAGTCCCATCTCCATCTAACAGAAGGCAATGGCACGCTTTGTTTCGGCAGATGGGGAATTAAAAAAAAAAAAAAAAAAGTAGCAAAAATAACCTCTTAGAGGCTTACTCTATTTTAAGAAGCATACAAGATTCCAGAAGTTTTCAACAAAATGAAGTTTGGTAAACTCACCAAGTATCTGCAAGTCATCCACTTTTGTTTTGGATTCCACAATAACAGCATTTGTTATGTTGTATATATACACTTACGCACTAAGCGATTTGTATTTCAAGGCCATTTTGCCCGCCTCTTGATTTGTACAGCTTTCTAACAATGGAGTTCTTACACGACTGTCTTGAATAATTATTATAATTTGCATTCCTCTATTAGATTGGTAATGTAGAATATCAACTGAATAACATGAACCCAGTTTTGATCTGAGAATATTGAAGGATATGGAGAAAATTAACAGGATGACAGGATGTTTTTAATCTATTTACAGATCTGGTCCTTGTTTTTATTGTATTGTTGTTTTTATTGTATTTTTACAATCATATTTCAAATACCTTTTTACTCATGGTGGTAGATTTGGTTTGCATGATTATGTTCTACTCACATCATAGCCCCAAGACAAGATCGAGCTGTCTTCAGTGGAGGTTTCTGCATAACTCGGACTAGCAGACCATGAATTCCCACGATTGGTCGGAGTAACAGGAGGGTAATCTGATTCCTTCGAGATTTCAGACTCACTGAAATGCACACATTGAGGCAAAAAAAGAAAGAAAAGCAACAACACCACAATGACAAAAAAGCAGTTAAACAGCCTTTTCATTCTGTACCAAAAAAAAAAAAAAAATCAAAATAGTTCTTAGGAATCCTTCTCTTCGAGAGTTTTCATAGGGTTGATGTTTACTTTAGAGGCATTTAAGCAGAAGCCATAGTACACAAGTAAATGTATTAATGCTAACTCCTAATAACCTCAATGATGTAGGACATCTAGGGGTCAAGGAGAACATCAATTTTCTCCAAGTTACTGTAGTTAAGTTGAATACTATTTCTAGTTCCAATTCTACACTGCTCAGGAATGATTTTTCACTTTTTTCCACTTGCTTCTGTCATAAAATTACATGACCCTGGCTATTTATGAGATGGGAACAAAACACAGCTACACACTTATTATGATGTCCAAAATGGAAAGGATATGTTCTGAAATGCTACAGTTCTGACGTAAAGCCTAGGAGTACCAAATGTATTACTTTTGTAAATATAGCTCTACACAAAGGGTATTGTTTTTTCCATGGTCTCCAGACAAAGATCCATTTTCTGGTGTGACAAATACCTTGAGATCTCTCCGTAGTTTTCCAAAATAGGGTGTGGCTGGGCGCCCCTCATCTTGTGGATCTGGCAGCGGATGATGCCGCAAGGCATGTTTTGTAAGTCCTTGTCTAAAAGAAAGAGCAGAACTTGATGTTACTGACAAGAATAAATATCTACGCAGCTCCCAAGTTTTACATGGCTTTCTGCTTTCCGAGGAATGCACTGATTTGCATACCTGAAGCATTTCTTATTATTAGGGTAATTCAGGTTACCAAGGCTTTATATTTAAAATACCAAAACTAACTCTAGGCTAAACACGGAGTTAAAAGGTATTTGCTTAAAAATCAGTGTCTTCCTTTAAACGTAAAGCGCTGTCACGAATCCCGATGCAGCTCTCTATAAGCACCTATCACGTTGTTGTCCCCAAAGGGGACTTGTGATCAGGCAGAACAAGCGTGGCCTCCAAACTCAGCAAATTAGGAGCAGTTATTTGCTACCTTATTGCTTTGATGAAGTTTAGGTGCCTGGAAAGAGAGATGGGCAAAGTCCCAGCAGCGGGAGGAGAGCCAACAGAAGTATCCCAAGCATCGGCTGAGGGAGCTGTAAGCGAAGGATCCCTCCCCTTAGCTCATTTTCGGCTCAAAGACATTGAACTCGAGATTTAACCACGTTCCGCATCGTATGTCGGCGACTACATACGTTGCCCACGACGGGTACAAACGCATCACAGCGCTGCCGCCCGTCCCCGCCACCCCTTAGGGCTGGCCCCAGCCCCTCTCCCCAGCCCCAGCTACGGCCCCGCCGCCCCCAGCCCTCCGCGGGGACCCTGCGTGGCGGCGGCCACTCACGACTCCAGAGCGCTGGGGGGCAGCGGCTTCCTCGTGTATCGCGACATCATCGTGCGGTCGCCTCAGCGCCGCCGCCATGACACCTCCTCCTCAGCGCCGCGGCCGCCATTACGCCGCCGCCATGACGCGGTCTCCCTGGCGCCGCCGCCATGACACCGCCTCCACAGCGCCGCCGCCATGACGCGGTCGCCTCAGCGCCGCCATGTCGCGACAGCCTCAGCGCCCCTCAGAGGCGGAGCGCGGCCCTCGGCGCGGCTCTTATGGCGGGGGACGGGGCTCCGGGCGAGGACGCGGTTCGCTACCGCCTCTTCGCGGTGGGGCCCGGAGGCGAGGAGCTGCTGCGGGGCTGCGCCCGGGACATCGCGGAGCGCCTGGCGCCGCTGCTGGCCGCCTACATCTGGCAGCGGCAGCCGTTCCGCCTGCGCTATGTGCCGCCGCGGGGTGAGCCCGGGGGGGACGCGGCGTGAGGGGCGCTGAGCCGCTTCGTTTCTCGTGTTTTATCTTGTTTTCTCTCCGTGCCCGGCCAGGAGACACGCCGGAGCACCTGGGCGGCAGCACGCGGTTCGGGGATAACGTGGAGGACGAGTGGTTCGTCGTGTACCTGCTGCGGGAGATCACCAGGGCGTGCCCGCTGCTGGCGGCCAGGTGCGGGCGGGCCGGGGGGCGCCGAGGGGACCCAGCCCGGCCCCGGGCGGCTTCACCCTCACGGAAACCCCTTTCTCCTCGGCCAGGGTCGACGACAACGACGGGGAGTTCCTGCTGATAGAGGCGGCCGAGGTCCTCCCCAAGTGGCTCCGTCCGGAGAACAGCGACAACAGGGTGCGTACGGCCCCGGGGCCGCCTTGGAGCCTCTCAGCCCAAGTGGTCTGGAAAGGACTGGGCAGGGCTCTCCTCAGGAGCCCTCTTGCATCTACCTCAGCTTCCTAGCTCAGATGTAGCCACTCGTGTTTTTTCCTTTCGTGTTCTCAAGTGCTCTGACATGAGGGTTTGCTGCCTGGATGATGCTTTTATTCCCCTGTCACGTTCTTCAGTGGTTAGGTTAGGCTGCCTGCTTCTCCTGCAGCAAATCCCCAGTTGAACAGAGACTTGGTATTGTTGGTGTTAAGGAAAACAGATTTAGTGAAATACATATCTTGAAATAGTATTATTTTTTAATTTATTGGTTAGATCATGGTTTCTGGCACCTGTATTTATATCATCTCCCATTTTAAAAAAGTTGTTTCCTGTGTTATTTCATTACTTGTGCTTCAGTAATCTGAGTTTAAACGAATAGATTCCTGTATGAAACAAAACTTTGCATTGCTTGGTGTATGACTGTTCTTATCCTCTGATGAGGCTGTTACTGTCTGCCAGGTGTTTTTTTACAAAGGAGAACTGCACATCATTCCGCTGTCAGAGACTCAAGAGCAGGATGACTGTGAGCCGTCTGCTGCCTGCCCAACAATCTCAGCAGGCGCTAAGGCTGTTGTCCACCCGGTCAGAGGAGTTCCTGGCTGCAGAACCCATTCGAGCAGCGGTGTATAAGCGCATCAGTGGGTATGTGGATGATTTCATTTGGTTTTCTGTTGGTTTACTGCTGTGATACCATACCTGACAGTTACAGGAATTTCTGTTCCTTCACATCCTTCTTGTACTGGTTAGTGAGGAAATGTGAAAGTTGTGCGAGCTTTTAGGAGCCCATTGGAGAAATGAAAAGATTGCACACTGCTGTCTAGAACCAACATGCTCTTCTGAGCATCAGCTAGTTACAGGTGAGGTTAGCATTGTGCGTTATTTTCTGCAAGGATTTGGCAGTGTGAGCCAGATGTACTCAGTGCAGTGAAGAATACTGTAGAGTTGGACATGTTAGTGAAGTTCACAGTGATTCATCTTAACAGTGCGGGGATTGAATTTTTATTAGCTGTGTATTTCAGATTTTTTTTTTAAACAGACACTTCAAGTGGTAGGTTAGCAGAATTTTAACTTTATTTTAAATAACCTTGTGGCACATGGCTCATAGAACAGTTTAATATTAATGTGAAATTGGGAGCAATAATTAAAAAGGAGTGGATTGGGCGTGCTATGTACTTAATACAGTATATTGCTATTGTATGATGCAGGTATCCAGAGAAAATTCAGGCCTCGTTCCACCGAGCCCACTGCTACCTTCCGGCAGGCATTGTGGCAGTGCTGAAGCAGCGCCCTTCGCTGGTGGCTGCAGCAGTCCAGGCCTTTTACCTGCGGGATCCAGTAGATTTACGAGCATGTCGCACTTTTCAAACTTTCCCTCCAGAGCAGCGTGTGATGACCACAGTAAGTCATCCCTCTAATGCAACTTGTGTCATTTAATGAAGTTCTGTGGTCAAATTAGATAAATGCATGGATTTCACTTTTAAAATAGTATGTTTTCTAATGTATTTTTTCATAAATATACAGTTGATTTTGTTCATAGCTTTTCTGCTTTCAAATTGGCATGGCTAGACTTTCAACTGGCTAAACATGAGCCTCTCTGAAATCAGAGGATGCTGCTAACAGCTTGTTTTCTGAAGAGCTTGCTGAGTAAACTGGTCTTCTTCTGTGATCTGAGCAGTTCAGCAGCATTGCCAGCCAACATGGAGTTGCCCCTAACTGCTTCTTGCTGGTTGTTCCTGGGCTTGTGACCTCCTCGGATGTAGTTGCAGTTGTTTCCTGAAAGCTCTTCTATGAAGTGGAATATTGACCAAGCAATGTGGCACTTGCATATGGTGTTTTGCTCCTAGACTCATGAAAATAAACTTGAGTAAAATTTTAGGCTTCTGGGATGATTTAGTTTTGGATTTTGAAAGCTTAGCTTTAGTTTTGTGAATTAAGGAGTCCTTACATCTTTACATATAAGTGTGTGTGTGTGTGTATATATACACACACCTTTCTGGCATAAATATTGAGGATTTTTTAATGTATTTAGATTGAACAAAGTTCATGTTTATTTAGGAGATATTGGTAACTTGGAATATTTGTTGTGAAATCTGAAAAGTGACACATCTTAAGAAAATATATGTATTCTGGATATCATCCAAGGTATTGTCTTAATATGGGTACTTTAAAATACCCATTCAGATGGAACTGTTGAGAAGTTGATGCCCATACAGAGCACATTCACCAGTGATTTTTTTTTCTTTGTTTGGGCTTTTTCAGGTTACATTCACCAAGTGTTTATATGCACAACTTGTGCAGCAGAAGTTTGTCCCGGACAGACGCAGTGGATACACCCTGCCCCTCTCATCTCACCCTCAGTATAAAGCCTATGAGCTGGGCATGAAACTGGTAATTATTTTGTATGGATTTTCTATTTGGTCTGTTTAGTTGGTGTTTGCATGTGTCCGAGAAGTGACTCTTTGCTTGTAAGTTGTCTGCTTGTACAGAAAAATACGAGCAACTTGGCAGATCCCATTTTTCTGTAAATACAATACTGTGGGCAATTTCTCTTACAGAATAGGGCACTCCTGTACCTCCACCCCTGGAAACCATCCCAATCAGGATTCACATGGTTTTATTTCCATTGCTGAGCTGGTGTTAAACCCAGTTTTCTTTTAAGTAATATCAACAATGGTTTCCATCTTAGGATAGATGAGATCTGTTTTAGCCTCTTCCTGAAGCAGTGCATCCTTCCACATTCAAAGTTGCTGCTTATGGTGTTTGTGCAAGGAGAATTTTCTGTGGACTGAATTTGCATTTCAGTTCTGCCTCCTGTGTGCTAAGTGTGCATCAAAACTGCAAGTGCCATGCCTCAAGTGCCAGAGCTCACAGGGGGTGGCTAAACACTAGTACAGCCCATGACCCTGTCCTGCACCTCCTGCACCAGGCACATCCAGCTCCTTATGGTGCATCTTTGCTGCAGAGAGAAAACATAAGCAGTAGCTGAGATGGAAATGGGGTGTGATTTGACTGTGAAGTGCAGAAGGGGTACTGGTACAGTGTGTCCTGGGGCCCTGCTGCAAATATTTCTATTTATTCTTATACTTATTCTTATTTCTGCAGCCACCTGTTTTCTCACAGATAGCAAGAGTCTGAGTTTTTTTTTTCTTCTGAAATTTCCTGTCCTGAGACTTGTGCCTCAGTGCACCAGCTTTGTATCCACAAAATGTGCAGGCTAGGCAACTTGGCAGTTCAACACAAAATATAAATAGAGATGAAATGTTGGCGCTTCCTTGAGGAGTAGCTGGTAAACTATAGATCTGTATTCTGGTTTGCTTCTCAGTGACTTGCCTCTGAAGACAAGCTTTGTATGTCAGGTAGCAGTGTCTTGCTTTGGAAGTTGGGATCTGACTTTCTGAAGCAATAATGAACCATTTTGACTCTGCAACCATCTTTGAGATACCAAAGATACGTGTCTCAAATGGAAGGAACTCAGTGATAGGGAGTTCTTTATGCAGGCATGTGAAGGTGTGCTTAAATATCACATCTTGAGAACAGTTTGTTGTTGCATTGCTTATACAGGCTCATGGCTTTGAAATTCTGTGCTCCAAGTCCAGTAAAGCATCTCCTGATTCCAAGAGAAATGAATTTAGTGGTCCTGTGTGGGAGAGATTCCTCAACGGCCTGAAGGAGAAAGATTATTTCAAGGTGAAGTAGTGTGTGTTGTGTGTGTGTGCAAGTGCACATGCATGCATCTTTTATGCATTCCAGAAGGAAAAAAAAAAAGCTTTTGAGCTTATGAAAGTTCTTCAAGTAGGTTAGGAAATCTAATGTTTCTGTCTATGGAAAGTGAATGAATATCTCTAAGGGAAGTATGAGCAGTTTGTTCCTATTTGAAATGAATACATCCCTTTTGGAAATTAAAAAGGGAAAAGCAGGATTTGGGTATGAATTCCCCTATCTAAAGAAAGGGGAAATACACTTGAAGAAAGGAAGGCACAACATGGTTGTGTGTCAATATAAATGTCTTCACTGTTTTTTCTTTCACCTGCATGCATCAGTAATTAAAGGGTCTTAAAATTCTATGTTTAATACCCCCACAAATCTCATTTAGACCCATGTAAATTACTGCAAGTATAAATTGCAAAGCAATATTACCTATATGGATTTTTCTCAGCACTCAGTTTCTGTGAGACAAACAATTGTCATGACATCTGGCTGTGAAAAGGAAGTGGAGGGAGAATTGCTTAGATTCATACGTGTGACT